AACGGGGGCGGCCGGGTTGAATGATTTCGTGTCTATTCAACACCCCCTCATGACCTTTTCAGAAACAGAAACAAAATTCAAAAGTGAAGTCTGTGGTGCCGTTTGCTGGCTAAAAAGCTGCTGAATTGCCCTCTCGCTCAAAGTCAAAAGACCGCGTCCGACCGCTCCTTTGAAGATGATGGATCGATTGCACTCAGCTACGAAACTTCTCTGCATCATCCCGATATCGACGACGGGTATGACAGATGACTTGACACGACTATATCCATCAAGACCCGACGTCGAAATCACCTTCATCGATGGCCGAGACCTCGCCGAGTGTCCGCCGTGCATCGAGAACCATGAACAGGCGCTGCAGTCGACAAAGGCCGTCCTCCCCCGGGCGATAGACTACATCAACTCAAAACCAGTTGACGCGGTTCTCGTATGTTGCTTCTCAGACCATCCGCTCGTCTACGCACTCCAGGAGATCTTCACCATTCCCGTCACCGGGATATTCCAAGCCGCCCTACAGGAAGGGACCCAAGATGGCGCGAAGTTCGGCGTCGTTACGACGGCGCAAGCCTGGGAACCAATCCTGACAAAATCTGTCGACGATCTCGGGTTCGAAAGCAAGTCGGCAGGTGTGCTTGCCACGGGCTTGGGAGTGCTGGAGCTGGAGAGCCTGGAGCGTGGCGATGTCGTAGAGCGCATAGCGAGCTTCGCGGGGCGGCTGATCGACAATGGCGCGACTAGCATCATCCTCGGGTGCGCGGGCATGGCTGCGTTGGAGGACGATATTCAAAAGGCGCTCCCACAGAGCGTAACGACGGTCGATGGCGTACGGTCCGGCATCAATATTCTGGCTAGGCTAGCCCAGAAAAGGGCGCGACCAGAAGACACAATATGGACGAACGATGCAAAGAGAAACTGCGCGGTGCAGAGCAAGGAGTTGGCTGGCAACTTGGAGCATGTTTACTAGAATTGGTTATCCAGATTTTGTCTATTAAGAGATGGAAAGAGTATATAAATCGATCGTCGTGTCAACTCCCCGTAACACTGTGTCCGTCCCAATTGGCCTCCCTTCCTATCATGATGTCCAGTTTTCGACAGCATAATTCCAGTCAATGTCCGGTTGATCGTTAAACGCCGTCGTAAACACATTGTTCATAAAGTTCAGGGGAAAGTTGTACAAGGGAACGCTCTGCATCTGATATTGGTCCATGGTGCTGGCTGGCATCACCTCCACGATCTGCTGTGGCTGCCCGGTACTACTCGGCATCTCTGTGATGGGGATCGCCGTCGCAACCGGCATCTGCGGCTGCGGCGGCTGCTGCTCGGCCCGCCGTTTGATCTCGTCGTCAATCTTGGTGATGTACGCCAACAGCTTGCCCGATATTTGGGGCGCGTTGGGGAGGCAGGAGCCCAAGTTCTGTAGGAATTGCGCCATGTGCCGCCTTGGGAAGGTCAGTTTCATGACGAGAAGCCGGTGGGAGGGTTCATCATTACTTACATGACGTCTCGTAGTCTAAAGTATTGATGTGTGGTGAGGTGGCGCCCGATGAAGCTGCTGAGCAAGTGGCCGACGCCGACCAGCTCTTGGAGCTTGCGTGATGTTAGCATCTCTCAGACATGAGGGTTTGGGATGATGTAGGCGTACCATGGGATGTCCTATCGCTCGAAGATACTCGGGCGGTACTTTGGTAATCTCATCGATCAAGTCAATCGCCGCATTACAAGCGTCGTCGAATTGATTCAAGCAGGCGAAATGAGCCATGCGAGTGAGCTACAGGTTGTTAGACTAGCATGCATCCCACAGGAAGATTGTCAACTCACTTGGTATGTGCATGCAATATTAGCCACTTGGAATCCGCACAAGTTCTCCTCTCGATTGTTCGATGATGGAAACGCTTGGGATGCATACAGCGGCAGCTGCAATTTCCTGTTAAGCACGTTGTCCAGCATCTCCTGGATGGACGGGAGTAGTATGTCCATGTCGTTATCATGGCGGTCTGTATGCACCGCCTGCACACGCTGCTTGCGCATGCGCACAATGACGTGCTCCAGCATGCGATACAGGTCGGTGATGTAGTTCCAGCCAGTGAGCCAACTACCCGGGAAGAAGATCTCAGGCTTCGAGTGCCCCCGGGTTTGGCCGACCGCCGCGCCCGTGGGATCCAGCACGCCGGAGAGGCCGACGTGCACCGGGTACGCCACGCCGCATTGCAACTCCGGACACCGGATGACGTGCCCTTGGATGAGCGCAGAGTGCACCTCGAGGCGGTACATGGACCAGAAGAACTGCCGCCGCACGTACACCTCATTCCTGGGTAATTCGCCCCAGTTGCTTTCGAACTGGAACTGCGCCTGCGCGACGATGCTATGGTAGCGCCCAAGGTACTGCTCGAACAGCACGTCGTCCTTGATCTGAACCGCCGCCAGCGACAGCGTGCCGACGACCTGCAGGTACTGGAAGATCTCGTGCTTGGGAATGTCCCGGTTGTCGTCGGGAATGGCTTTCCGCCCGTCGTCAAGATAGGCCTGCTGGTGCTCATCGCGAATCATCTCGGGAATGTCCGGGTTGAACAGCGCGCCGTCGCGCACATGCGAGGCGCTCAGCGCGCAGATGGCCATCAGGCGGGCGAAGGCGGCGCGGTTGGACGACATGCTCGTGTTGTCCCATTCTCTCATGATACTCGCCTCATCGTAAAAGGGAAACCTTGTGCAACAGGGTCAGCAATTCATTCGGCTCTTCTTTCTCGTCAACCCCCAATCGGGAATGATTGGAAGTTGACTTTGAAGCGGGGGAACACAAACACTGGGTACACCGTGTCGAAGAAGATACATATGAGACGGTGAACAAGGTTTCTGCTGCCATGGCGGCTCTCGTCGTAAAAGCACCTGTCCGAGCCGCCGCCCTCGCCTTGCTGATGAGGTTGCTTGATAGACGCGGGCGACGTCTTGGACTTGACGCCCCTCTTTGCCGCGACACGATTCCATGTGCACTGCGCGCTGTGCTCGATGCAGGTCAGACATGAGGGCTGGCCGTCGGGCCCGGTGACGGGCGTGACCCCGCTCCCCTCAGTGACCGGCTTGCACTTGCGCCCTCTGCGGTGACAGAAGTCGCAGGCCTTGGTGACGCGCCGGCGCTTGAAATTGGGCTCGCTGTGCCGTCTGCCGTCTCCGTTGACGTGAGGGTGATTGTCTTCGCTCATGATCCCTCACACTCTCAGAGGGGTCTCTCTCTCAACTCTCAACTCTCTTCCCGGCCGAGATTCGAGGGCGGAGGGGGGCGCGTCCCAACCGGGTCACGGGACTCCCATTCGGCTTCAAATCGGTGGTGCGTCTTTGGTGAGTGAGGGGGGAAACCAAAAGAAGGGGGGGTCAGCAGCGGGCCGGTTCCTCCCTCTCTTCGGTGTGCAGTGCTGTTTTCTCCCTCTGTCTCTGCCAGTGCTTCTTCCCTCCCTTGTCGATGATGTGCAGATCCACAGGCGATGGAGGGTCCCAGTTCCAACGTCCTGCGGTGCAGTGCGGCGCGGCTAAGTACAGTGTGTCTTGAAAGATGCAAGCGTCCGAGCCGTGTGTGTGATTTCTTCTTCTCCGTGTGGAAAGTTCGGGGTGAGACGGTATTTGTGCAACACGGGGACACACAGTTACAGTTTCGACGTGTCTCTTTGGATTTTTTTTCCACTTGGTCCTGTACCTTGCTTTTCCGGTTCTCCAACAAGAATAAAATGGGGGGTGAGGAGATGCAGCAGCATCAGCAGCGGGCGGCTGGATGTTGAAATTGAGACAGCGTGCGGGTGGGGCGAACACAAGCAAACATTGTTCACTCCAAGCACTGACTAAGCCCCTGACTCTTCTTGTCTTGAGATGAGAGAAAGAGAGGGAAGAGAGAGTGAGTGTAAGACCAGCCGCTGTTGGTGTGTGTGTGTGTGTGTGTGTTGGTGTGTTGGTGCTAGCTGCTGCTGAAAGTCTTTTCTCTCGCTGTTCTTGAGCTAAGCTGAAGGGGAATTAACTCGCATACACTGTCACATCGCCCACTGGTTCCTTGCGGTGAGTGGGTACGTACTCCGGTATCTCCCCTCCCTCTTCCATGTCTCCTTGCCTCCCCTCCCGCTTCCTCCCACCTCCCACTTGTTGGCCGTAGACTCGAAATGGCCTCGACGCTGGCCTTCGGGGAGTTCAGGGGTGGCTGTGCCGCAGCCACTGACCACATTGTTCTTTGTTGAACCCTGGTCCCTGAGTCCTGACCCCCGTCCGTTCCCCTCTTCCACCGTCCAACAGCGTCACCGTAGCCCGGAAATAGCGATCTGAACCAATGCATTCTTCTAGAATCCCCCCAAAACACTGCCATGACAAAAACGTCGACATCGAGAAAAAGAGCCGCGAAGAGAGCTTTTCTAGCAACAAAAGCCAAACCACGTCCTCGGTGTTGCGCTCAGTGAAACTGGCGGTTGGTAAGACATCGGGACGTCATGGCTCGCATCCCCGGTACCAACAGCTTGGTTCCAACTGCATGTTGGAACCCAATGTTTGCTTCTCGCAGTGGATGCCAATGTTTGCTCTGCAATAAATATTGACGCTTGCGTCCAGTACTTTTGTCACGCTCGGCCTTTGCACGTGGGGGAGGATCATCGAATCTCTAGACGAAACGCCCGCCAAATCTCAAAGCCCGCACATTTTCAACGTGACACCGCACTTGAACCACTGCGTCGGGTCGGCCGCCCCCTTCAACGCCTTGATCTTCATCGCACATCAACGCGGCAAAGTGGACACTTCTGACCTGGCCTGCGTGTGTCTTCGTGTCACACCGTGTTCAATGTTTGCTCTCTGCGTCGTAACGTGCAGATCTCCAACGGTCTGGAATAGGGTCATCTCCGTCACCGAGTTGGAATGATTGGCTGCTCGTCTACCTGTTATAGTCAACAGAGGCGACGTTCCGCACTTCTGAAGGATGAGCTTCCTTGCAACTATCTCGGACTATGGACGTATCGTTCTCACACAGCTCCATCGTCACATCACGGCTTCTGGCCCGACTCAACAGACCCCACATCCCTGAAGGCGATGCCCGTAGCCACGCGCGTCTCTGAGCTCGTCGAAATCCCCTCGTCGTCACGTGGACTATGGTTGATGTGGAACTTGATGCCGCCCCTTGCAGTGTATGCAGCGTCCAACTCGTAATTTGCCCAATCCGGGAACATCTATTGCACTTCATCAGCAGAGAGTGTGGGGAGCGGCTCCAAATGTCACCCACCTTTCGCAGCCCGATCAGCGTGACCTGCTTCAATACCTGGCAGGTACTGACGCATCCAATGATGAAGGGGATTAGTTGTCCCGTTGTCTTGATCTCGTTGATGTCTTGAACATGATTCCATCCCAATGTAAGCTCAATCGATAGGATGAACCATAAAATGCTGAGGAAGACCATGACGTTCCACGTGACACTGAGATAGAAGCAGATGGAGTTGCTTAATGTCAACATCAGTAACCATCACTTGTTGCAAGGGTCCGTACGACTCACCCAAGTTGGTGTTCCCCATAGGTCTCGCATCCGGCCAAGATTGGAGAGTCGGCCTCTCCACGGTCATCATACTGCTTCGGCGTGAAAAGCGATATAGCCGCCCTAACTGAATCATGAATGCTCACACTCTGAGGATCTGACAGCTTCGTGAAGAAGGACAGAAGCTGGACAGACAAAATGAACAACCAGATAACAGACACGAACACTCTGAAGCTAGGTGTCCGCTTGAGAATGAACTCCCCGACCCTCAAGTAATATTCCACCCGCTCCAGAAACGGGAGGAGTTTTGTTCGCAGACTTTTCGTAAGTCTGGTCGAGCTGGGAATAGCAAAGTAAACCACGTCTCGCAAGGCGCAGAAGCTCAAGAGAGTGACCAGGAAAGCCGCCGCTGATACTAGGAACAGACACAAAGGCAAAACCACAATGACAACTATGATAGCGACGACTTGCGAAAGAATCAACACAAGCTTTTTAATGCGTTGCATCGAGAAGAGGAAAAGAAACGGGGCTCCGCAGCCATCATCAGCGGTGGGTTGGTTTGCGATGTAGAACCAGAAATAGACATTAAAGCCCGCCACGACGCCGAGAATGGCCGTCCTCCATACAACCCCAACCCATGAAATGTTGCGAGGCTTGAAAGGAGTCAGATACTCAATGGGGACCTCGAAACTCGGGTTGGAAAGATACTGTCTCGCGGCGGCATCTTCGAGGTATTCGCGGCCCATCCTAAACAAGGACTGGTAAAATGCCTTGACAACATTATTCCCCTCTCGCTCCTCTTTGAAGATTTGCTTGAACCGATGGCGACTCCAAATCTTCTCTCCGAGCTCCGCATTCTGTCTACGCTTCTCGACGACCTTTTGGTAGTGGTGCCAGATGAGCTTGACGCGTTTCGGTCGCAAGAAGTGGTTCCGGACTCCGATCGTGCTGAGCACCGTGATGAAAAAGCCAAGAGAAATTTGCAACATGATGTACAGCTCTATCGGCTTCACATCGCGATGGACTTGTGCCAAGATCGTTGCGATGATGATCGCGAAGACGAAGATGGCGTTGACTCCGTGGACATCCTCGATGCTCTCCTCGTCCACCAGCATGCGGATCCAGGACGAGACCCATTGGCAGTAGACGCCGATGCGCACGCCAAGGCCGTATAAATCCCCATTGCCGTCGATGGCGCATCCGTCGGTGTCCATTACGGGCGATGTCACCGCATCTAAGTTCGAAAGTTGCGAGCTGGAAGCTGAGAGATGCCTGGAGAGTCGGCGTTCAATTGAAATGAGGTTACGGTAGCGCCATCGACAGCAGATGCGACTGGGCCGCTTTGGGGTAAATCTGTTTTGCAGGAATGAGGCAACCTGCCACTTATGCAATCCGGCCGCTCACCTACAGCCGCTCGGCTCAGCCCGCCACGAAGGTGAAGATGGTGTCTCAGGCGTGGAGTTAGCGGGCGCCACAGGTCCCGCAAACATCAGTATAAGTATGTCTGGGCTGTCTCCGGAGCGGGTGATAATCTGCATTCGGCCTGCCGAATTATACTCACATTGTCTTGGTCAGCAATCATTTGGCGTCAATGAGGACTCGGATGTGAATCATCAGATTCGTCGAGTAGCCCCTAAATTATGCACTGGAGTTTAATGGAAATTGCATAGGAAGCAATTTTATGTCTAAAACTCAAACCAATCATGTGTTTTAAGAGTAGCCAAAACAGCAAAATTCTGCTTGCTGTTTCTCATGGTATACGGTTTGTGAAACGATGGCCCAAGTCAGCCAGTCTTTCGTAGACTCATCGTATTTAAAAGATTGGCCTCCATTATGTGCTCTTTTCACTATGCGTCGAGTTATAGCAACATCAATGATTCAGGAGGTTATGGTACTGTAGAGGATCTGTTCAATATTTTACCCAACTATTGGGTTACCTTTTTTCATCCGCATATATTCTAAGGTTACTCCGTCCAAATTCGTTTATTCTTTAGTAAATGTAAACCCCCTCGAAGTCTTCACATTATGTTCCTAACTCAAGTGGAACGGCATTCGAAAACGCGAAACCATGAGGAAGTCAGCAAACCAGCCAAGCCGACGTTCTCAAATTACGAATACTAAGGCTTGTTCAAAGCCAACAATCCTCGAATCTTGCATGTCTTTTGATGCAGAAATTTTGTCATGCACACGGATCCTTCATATAACCATTCGTTCCTGGTCCAGCAAAGCTGGATGCCAGCGCCCTGGTTCTGGAGTGGGGACGCCAAACTGGGGAAGTCTCGCCTCCTGGGGGCTCGAGACAATTGTCAAATTGCTCCAATCTAGCAAAAGCAAGTTGGAGTCAGCCATAGCCGTGGATTTCAGAGAATACCCCTAAATCCCCCATTGTGATGCATCTTGTGGATTGTAAAGACATGAAATGGAGAATTTGTACTCTAGTCAGCTGACCCGACATTCACTTCGATGCCATGTCACTTGTGAAGGCTTGCGTTAGACACTGAATGGTCGAGGCTTCTCCTTTCATAGTCTCTGTCAAAGCTTGTGTTGTGGAGATCTACAGTCCGTGATGCAAGGATGATGCGGGGAGTTCCAGTGTTCGCCAACTTCCGAGCCAATTTTAGCTCGCCAGGCGTTGCCGAGATTACAGCCCACGCTAACAGTCTCTTCACCCAGCGCGAACGGGGCGATACGAGAATTCGAGATGGTACTTAGGCGGAGCGATGCCCTTTCTGAATTCGTGGGATACCAACAACTTCAATTAACAACATCCTCACAATGCGATCTTCCAGCTTTGCTCGCGATGCCGCGTTGCTGATTTCAGCCATCACAACCCCCGTATTCGGCCTTCCTGCCGCCAACAACACAGAAACTGCGCAAAGAGTCGAATGGAGGAGTCTGTCGGATTCAGCAAAGGCAGATTACATCAAGGCTGTGAAATGTCTCGATAGCCTGCCATCAAAGATTGGTCTCGAAACTTCGCGCTACAACGACTTTCCCTACGTCCACGCGCATCTCAACATTCAGAGTGAGTAGAAACCTCAGTTACCATTCATCAATCAACGTTGTCCGAGCGTCACAACTGACTCGAAAAAAGTTCACTTCGTGGCTCAATTCCTTCCATGGCACCGATACTTCGTCCACGTCTACGAGACTGCCTTGAGAGATGAATGCAGTTACACTGGTCCCATGACTTACTGGGAATGGACCTTGGACTCCGAGGACATGTCGAAGAGCCCCGTCTTTTCGACCGATGTCACCACGGGCTTCGGCGGCAACGGACTCAACGGCGGCCTCACATCACCATCTCGCCCGAATCCGTTGACGATGTGTGTGACCGACGGTGCATTCGCCAACTTCACTGTTCCGTACTTCGACACGACACCAAGAGCGCATTGCTTGAACCGCGGTTTCAACGACGGTATTGGCGTCGACAACGGCAAGTTCCAGGGCAAAGCCTACTCCCCTGCGAGAATTGTAGAAATTACAGAGACTTCTGGCAACTTTTCTCAATTCGCGACAGCGTTGGAGAACGGGCCTCATGGCGCGATTCACAACTCGGTGGGCGGAGACTTGATCCCCTCAACTTCTCCCAATGGTAAGCATTCTCGTAGATGAAAATATTTCGGTCGATTTCGTTCGCTGACTCTTTGGAAGACCCGCTCTTCTTCCTTCACCATGTGCAGATTGACAGACTTTGGTGGTTGTGGCAGCAGGAGGCGCCCGAGGGCCGCGCGCAGGACTTCTCTGGCATCAGGATTCTGGAGACTGGCCAGGTGGACGTGAGGCCGGCTTCTTTGAACGACAGTATGCCTATGCTGGGTCTTGCGCCAGACATTGCTATTCGGCAGGTTATGTCAACGACAAATGACCTGTTGCAGTACAAGTACTAGATAGGTAGACCTATGAGCAGACCCGTGCGCCCCGGGCATCATTCCAGCGATAAAAATAGACTAAACAAAAGTTCACCATAATTCAGCGCTATTCATTTCATGATGTTATGACTTATACACTTGTCAGCCAAATTCAATCAGGCGCCCTTGTAGGGTATGCGGTTGATTACAGCCTGCGGTACATGTCAGCACGCTGTTGGTTGTCACGCGCTGCTGATGAATATTACCCCGCTTTGTGCCAAGGTCGAGCAGCTGTCGAGACGAAATCATTCATATTGTCAAATCGGAATTCCTCGCGACTCAACATCGGATCTCTTTGTTACGTGCCAGTCCTGTCTCCAAGGCGGTCAACATCAGCCTTGGCCAGCCTCTCCATCGCTGCTCCGTGCAACATGATATGCAACGTTTGCCGAGATGGGATAGAGGCGAATGTGCCGAAAGATGTTTGGGGAGAGGAGCAGGGTACCCTAGTCATCTGGGATCATCACTTGACTTGCAGCAGTCTGAAAGCATCGGTCGAGGCGGGATGCTATATCTGCAACCGAATCTGGATTTGCCTCCCCCCGGAGCACCAAGCATACATCATCGGCGTGACAGATCAAACCCAAGCTCCTAACGTGGATGGGTTTAGCCTTGAGAATGAAGAGGGCCGTTATCATTCAGATGCTGTCACCCAAATGGAACTGTGGTGGCATTGGGATCATCGCGATGAAAAGTTCGAGACGATGAATGCTTCTATCAACCTACCCCGAACCTATCCGTCGAGCACACTCGCAACCAGGTTCAAATGGAAAGATGTCGGTAACTTTCTCATCCACCCTTACAACGGTAATTCGAACCAATCTATTCTTATGAATCATATTTACATGAGCTCATGTATTCACTGGTATTTCATGCAGATGGCGAATTTCGTACACCTCAGCCCCTCGCTGAAATTACTTCGTCCAAAGACGCCCTGCTACAGGCCAAGAACTGGTGCGATCAATGCGTCCAAGGCCACACCCGGTGTCGTGCTTCGGCGCCGAATGGAACTTGGTATCCCACCCGTCTAGTGGACTTTGGATCGCCAGAGGCTTCATGTTCTCATTTCCGTTTAGTACAGCCCATCAAAGAGCAACTCACTGGGCCCTATATGACACTGAGTCATTGTTGGGGACAGGCAGATTGTCTTAAGTTGACTACGGACAACTTAACCGAGCTGTCTAGCTGGCTGCCGGCCACATGTCTTCTGCGGCTATACCAAGAGGCCGGAGATGTAGCACGACTACTAGGAGTGAGATATCTGTGGATAGACTCTCTCTGCATTATCCAAGACGGAGACAAGCTGTCGGACTGGCGTCATGAATCGACTCTCATGGATAAAGTTTACTCAGCAGCTTTTTGCAACATCTCAGCATCGACGGCTTCTGATGCGCATCATTCTCTGTTCCATGATCGCAGGGCAGAAACTTACATGTGGCAAACTGTCCAACTCAAGCGACAGGGGCAAACTTCAGTCTACCGTATCGTGGACGAAGACACATGGCGAACAGACGTGCACGACGCACTGGTCAATTCGAGAGCCTGGGTACTTCAGGAGCGCTTACTTTCTCGAAGAATTCTTCACTTTGGAGAAAGGCAGATTTCGTGGGAGTGCCGGGAGAATAATGCGGCTGAGTTCTACCCAGAGGATGTCCCACGGACTATCCTTTGTCAAGTCAATCCATCTCCACGGCAACTTAGCCAATTTGATGACAAGCGCGTAGCATTATCCGAGCCCGAACCTGCATACAATGATGTGCTATGCGCTTGGGAAGACATAGTCTCCACTTACAGCGGTAGCAGACTTTCATTTTCTGCTGACAGAATGATTGCCCTTTCAGCCGTTGCGAAGAAAATGGCACAAGTCTTGGACGACGAATATGTAGCGGGCATGTGGCATCGCACTCTGAAGCAGGAAATGCTTTGGGCAGTCCGAGATTCAGTGCCGATTTCGACTTGTTCTGAGTCTTCCTACCGGGCCCCGAGTTGGTCATGGGCGGCCGCAGATGGTTCAGTGTTTTCATCTGGGCGAGTGGTGTATCCTACGGAGTTCTTCATCGAGATCGAGGATTACCACCTGGATTACGTTACTACAGAAGTGACTGGGCTTCTTGAAGGCGGCTGGGTTCGTTTATGGGGCGCTCTGAAACCCTTGTGTCTTACCCGAACCCAGAAAACAGACGAGCTCAATGGACTAGACTGGGAAGCCACGATCAACACAACGAAATATCAAACAGGTGGGACGATTATGTCCGTAGCCTTGGACACCTTTCACCAGGACTTCGAACTTCAGAACGCTGAGTCGTCGCTCTACTGCATTCCGTGTGCTGTAGAGGAGACGCAGGGGTTCAAAATCATGCTTCTTGAGATACAAAATCGAAGTCGGGGCATATTTCGTCGAATTGGCATGATTACACATCTTGACGAGGAAAGCCGAGAGCAGATCCTGGGGCCCTGCGACGATGAACACAGTTTTCCTTGTGAAGAATACAGAAATGGAAAACATCTGATACGGATCATCTAATGAGTTACGGTCATTATTAGTTCCGTCTGGTTTACCCTTTCTAGCAACAAACACAAATCAGTTGCAAATCCAAAGGCAAAGTCTTGTCTATCCGCAGAAGGGGACTCTTGCTATCAGCGCAGGAAAACTCATCTTCCCTGTCTCATAGTCATTCCGTTTGAATCTCCACAGATATCATAGTTTCGTACATCACTGGAGAGATTTGTCATGGCTGTACGTACTGAATTTCAAGCCTTAGAGACAGCAGACGTTGCTTCTCAGTTACCAAAGGAATAGGACACCATTGATAATCGAAACCCTCTCGCTCTCTAATTGACCTGGCCTTTGATGACGTGTCTCTTACCATGCAGTCAATTTCCCACGATTCGTTGTCATGTAACACAGAAATGCCACAATTTCGTTTGACAATGTCTTCTTGTGCCTGGGCTATGAATGCTATTTCAAGAGGACACCAATAATATTGGCTCAAAACCACCAAAAGGAAAATGTGCGGTGCCTGGGGTTTTTTTGCGTCATAATGACAAGAAAAGAGATGACTTCTGCATATGAGGCACTGCTTGAAGGATAGTGCAAGAGAGACTGGACCTCCGGGCGTGGAAACCAATGCATCATTGGATCCCTCTCCGTCACTCAAAGTGGATGCTTAGAGAACGACCAACAGATTTCGAAGGCCTAGAAGAAGGGAAAGGTTGGGGTCAGTCCCTGCATCGCTTTATCGCAATGGCGAGGAGTCATTTCCAAGCGATGACTGGATTAACCGACTGACGGGTATCAATGATATGGTGAAACGAGAAGAAGTCGAATTAATAGATTTTCTGTTTGATCGAGACGTACCAAAGCCTGAGCGTACTAAAATGAAGGGCTTCATTTAGAGTTGTCCCCGGCTGGCAATTGCGGGTATCGAGGCCATTTTAGGGCGCAAAACATGCAGCAGACGCCTGGGATCAGCCCGTGTTAACCTGAAAGGGCCTGGGGCACCAGTCAAGCCGCCATGTGTCGCCATCACACCCCCGCGAGCACGACATCGACGAAAATCTTTCGTGCTTTCCTCTTCCTCACTGGCTGGGCTCTTGGCGATGCAATGAGCTGCCTCGAAGACTCACTGGGTCTTACCCCAAGTCTGGAGGTCACTCCACATTGGCTGCGATGTTTCGGGGGTTCTCCAAAGTCTACAGGGCCCTAGAAGTCGCCAAGAATCTTGGGTCGTAAACAATCTGTGAAGCCTATCCCTCCGGTCCATCCCTCGAAGCTACAACTAATGACCTTCCCCAACAGGAAGGACTTTCTCAGGCAGATTCATGAATTTTATCGTGTCCTCGCCGCCGCCCAGGCGCCCAGCCTGCTGACGCCCTCTTGGCGCAGTCGCCCGTCTGGCTCATCTCACTGCAACCGGGCCATTCAACGGCCATCTGGCATTCCCGTCTTCTCGAGGATGAATACTCACTGGACGCCATCATCCTCACGAGCTTGCCGGCATCTATGGCGATTCAGCTTCAAAGAGGCAGCTGAAGAGAAATCATCAGCTCTTCTCACACACCTAAGCCCTTGTGCCACCTCGCGTCAACCCCCTGGACGCACATCTGGAGCTCTGATCCCTGCCGCTGCATCTTTCTGGAAAAAAGCCGAACCCATGATTTCAAAATTTGGTCCCTGTGTGGAGTATGAATGTTAGCGATGAGGCTATTTTGTGGCGTCCCGTCATCTAACTCGCCAAATCAGAGTTTAGACGGGTTCGCAAGCCTCCTGGGACTCATCCGGGACAGCTCTCGCTGATTATGTTGCCTATCATCAAGGTTACTCCCATCCTCATGGTCCTCATGGTAGCAGGCAGCGAGTCGTTTGTACCCTTGCGTGACGTTGCAATGCAATGACGTGCGGGGCATCGGAGGTCTGCACAGGATAAGATCAACCCTTCCACCGCCTGTCTCGGGCTGCTATGCAGCAGCAAGTAGATGCAGGGCTGGGCACATATATAGCTCCTAGCTCCCAGCTCCCCCCTCGGTGACCTTTGCCGATCTCCCTGCCTCAGCTCAAAACTCTATCTGTCCGACCCCCCTCGAGGAAGCTTCTTAGCTTCGCATCCCCACGAGTCGATCTTGGCAACTTCAGACGATTGACATCGCGCGACGGGACGACGATATGAGCGGACCGCTCAAGCAGGATCACCATGTTGGTGAGACTCGACACGATGTACAACGCGACGATAACTCGACGGAGGTTGGGATCGTCAAGGACCAGCAGACGTTCGCCTACTCCGAAGAGCGGAAGATCGGTGTCACGGGCGCTGTCTTTCTCATTCTGAATAAGATGATTGGAACCGGAAGTTAGTACCACTCGGAACTAAAGTCATCTAGCAAGGCATGTTGACATATTCGAATAGTTTTCTCGACGCCATCGGGCATATTCCAGTCTACTGGCTCCGTCGGCGTTTGCCTCATGCTCTGGCTCATTGGTGGTATCCTCACATTCTGTGGTCTATCGGTGTTCCTTGAATTCGGCCTTGCGATTCCACGATCTGGCGGAGAAAAGAACTATCTCGAGCGAGCATACAAGCATCCCAAATACCTTGCGACCTGTGTTCTCGCAGCTCAGATGATCCTTCTTGGCTTCTCATCTGGAAATGCCCTCGCCTTCGGAAGATACATTCTCTTTGCTTCCGGGTCAACAGCTCCCGATGGTTGGATCGCCCGTGCAATCGGTATTGCCGGCGCGACGTTTGCTGTCGGCATCCACGCCATCACCCCCAAATGGGGCGTCCGTCTGTTCAACGTGCTGGGTGTCTTCAAAGTTGCGGTCTTGATCTTTATCGTCTTTTCCGGGTTCGCTGCCCTTGCCGGTCGCCGGCGAGTTCCTGACCCTCACAACTTTGACAACGCCTTCCGCATCGAGGACGGAGATGGATACGGCAATGGTGGTGTCTACGGATATGCGACTGCGTTGCTGCGCATTATCTACAGCTACAAAGGTTGGGAGAATGCCAACTATGTTGTCGGCGAGCTGAAGAACCCACGCAAGACCCTGGCCATCGCCGCACCCATCGCAATCGGCGGTGTCACAATCCTCTACGTCCTTGCCAATGGTGAGTTGGCCAAGTAAGCTATCCGTTGGGCTTCAGTTGCTAATGTGGTGGGAAATCATAGTTGCCTATTTTGCTGCTATTCCGAAGACTGAGTTGGCTAATGCCGAAGTCATTGTCGCCGGTGTCTTCTTCCGTAACGTGTTTGGCAACAGTGCCGGTGCTCGGGCTCTCCCAGCCTTCGTCGCCATCAGCAATTTGGGCAATGTGCTTGCGGTGAGCTTCGCCCACGCTCGACTCAACCAGGAGCTTGCCAAGGAGGGTCTCCTGCCTTTCAGTCGATTTTGGGCGTCTAACAAGCCTTTCAATGCTCCTGCTGCATCTGTACGTATCACAATTCCCCGCAGCCGTGTCACTATGACCATATGTTAACCTTCCGGCCCAACTCAGCTTTTTCTTCACTGGATTGTGACTGTCATTGTGCTAGTAGCGCCTCCTGCTGGGCCAGCTTACAATTTTATCACTGACCTCTACGTTTATCCGGGAGCATGGATCAACGGCTTCGTCGGAATGTAAGTCACATCGGCTCAAACTATTTCAAATGACTGCTAACATGTGCCCAGCGGTCTGCTGTACCTCCAGTGGAACAAGAAAGAGAATTGGTCCTCGCCATGGCACACGTATTTCCCCATTACAATTCTTTATGTGTTGGTCAACTTCTTTCTTTGCATTGTCCCCTTCATCCCGCCCAATGGATCCTGGACGGCAGACGGATACCCGTACTATGTGTTCCCGATCGTCGGCGTTGGAGTGCTACTTCTGGGAGCGCTTTACTGGTTGTGCTGGACCAAGATCTGGCCAGCCTTTGGCGGGTATAAAATCGTGGCCGAAAGAACGTACGATGAGGTGGGCAATGAAGTTATTCGCTACAAGAAGATCAGCACGAAAGGATTGTCTGGCCCTGTAGAGTAGTTGGTGATATGGCATATAAATTTTGCTAGGCACAAGCACCACAACGTTCACCACAAGCTAGTTTAGATCATAAACTCTTTAATAATATTAAATCCATGCGGACGCTTACATCCCACGCTGCGCTTCTCATACATGATCATAATATGTCTACTCAAGCCTCTCGCGCTCCAATCCCTCAGTGTCGCCAGGCTCACGGTAAGTGCCAGACGGCTTCGCAGAGCGAGTGCGCTCGTCAATGATGTTGTCCTTATCAATAGCCTCCTTGTCATCACGCTCTGATACCGGTCAGTCAAGCCTGGTAGAATCGAAGTAGGTAAACTTACCCAATTGCTGATCGGAGTCAGCGGTTTGAGGGTCAATAGGGTCCTCAACCTTGGCGTCATCGGCCTGGACTCTAATGGGCTCGCCGCGCTGGGGCTGGCGGGAGACGTACTCGTTGTCCTGAACGTCACCGGTGGGGGCCTCGTTGGAAGACATGATTTGCGGTTATTGAGAAGAATTGATTGAGAATTTGAGTTGAAATTGTGATGACACCAAATGATGATACTTGTGATTGATTCTGGAGACTATACAGGTATCCTTGGGGGATTTCACTTCAGTTCATATACAGAATCCAGCTCTGATATGAGCATGCTAGCCTTACTGCATTGAGTTGAAAACACCATCAACCAAGTCATTGATATCATCGTCGGCGCAACTAGTCTATGACGCTGTCATTTACGCGAAGAAACGCGCATCAACGCGCCCGCGCTCAGTCCCTCCAGCCCCGTTGCAGCTGTCAGTGAATGGGACCCGTCCCCGCGGAGCCCAAAGCCGCTGCCGCTAGCGGCGCCACATACAGACAAGCATCGCCAGATTGACCCAGCGACCAAACCGAAAATGCATACCCCTTGTTCCCAATTTCAGCCCTTTGAATCTCAATCAGCGATCGTCCCTGGTCTAGGGGCTAAGACCCGATTGGACAATGGCTCGGAGTCATGATGTTTGGACCTGTCTGGATCGGCGGATCGAGCTCCAACCCCTGACTTATCTCGGTGAGCACCTGAGCTAGAGTCAGTACACCGCGCAGGGAAGGTCTCACCGAGATAGTCTCCGGCATTGAGTTCGGTGTGACATCATCCCGTGTTTCGACTGATTCTTGCGTAGGGCGGGTGAGCGGGCCGCATCATATTGACGTTTGCCATCGCCCCAGCACGCCTCAGCTTTGTCTCGAAATGGAAACGATCTGCACCCGTTTACATCACCCTTCTCTGAGAATAAGCAAGTTTAATCTTGCCGAGACGGGTACCCATTGCCAGCTCAAAGTTGCCTGAGCTCTTGGTGCTTTCCATGCAAAATGCCTTATCAAAGCGAAGTAACGCTCATTCTCTCATGTAGATAGCCTAGTTCTTCCTTTTCACACAGAAGTTGAACGATCTCCTCATCATTCATTTTCATCGCTCATGACCAAGCACTTCATTGTCGCACAATCGTGTCCTTCCCCGCTCCCCTGCGATCCGATCGGACACTGATTCTTTGATGCAAAAAGTCGAGACGTCACTTCCCTGAACTACGAGGACCAAGCAAAACGGGCTCATCGCTAGCTCTTCCCATCGATCGTGCAGCCTTTCCGCTTCCGGTCTCCTCACGAGACTTGGCACATCCCCTCCTCTTTCACACCCACGTGGACCGCTCGACGCCGCGGTCCGCTCTCGCGAATCAGCCATGCCGTCACGAAACTCGGATCGTCACCACCGTGACCGCGCGACCTATGAGGACGACGATCCCTACTACGACGACTACTCCTACGAGCGCCCGCGTGCATCACGCCGTGTTTCGCGGAGCGCACATGAGCTAGACTCCGCTGAGGCGGGGCGCTCGCACCGGCGCCGCGGCCGCACCTACGACGATGAAATCAGCCCTGTCCGACCGAAGACCCGCGCCCGCTCGCTTGACCAGAGGCCGCCTCGTCGCCGGAACGACAGCTACGACTCGTACGATGACTACTCTGACAGCGAAGATGACAGGCGTCGACGACGTAACCGGAGCCGCGGTCGGGGCACTGGTAGTGGTCGCCGGAAGGACAGCAAGGTCTCCGCTGCATCAACTTCCCGTTCTAGATTGCAGAGACGAGAGTCGGACAAGGCGCATATCATACAGGCTGCCGCGAGCGCTGCCGTCGTTGCTGGCGCTGCTGAGGCATGGCGGATGAGGAAGGACAAGTCATCATGGCAGAAGAAGGGCATGAGGATGGCGACGGCCGCGGCTGGCGCAGGTGCTATTGCGGCGTTCAAGGACGACAACCCAAAAGATTATGGTAAGAAGGATGCAGTTGGAGCAACAATCGGAGGGTTGCTGATGAATCGATTTGCCAGCGGGATGTTGAAGAAATAATGACAAAGCATAGAGGGAGATATGTGGGCACGCATATGACGAGGGATTTCTGGGCATTATGACTATAATATCACGACCATATAGAATCGTCTAGACGGCGAATATGACATAACAGGAGTTCGGAAAGGAAACAACAGCACAAAAGAGTTCCTTATGTCGGGACGTGTTGAGAAGGATCGCGCAAGCATCGATGATGTTGAGTCCATGTGCGGATCTGCCAAATGGATAGAACACATATCCAGGAAGTGTCGTTTCATTCAATAACTTGAAGATTTGGCTTTATTGTTTTGCTCTGCAGCGGGGTATCATGATCCAATCTTCCCACTCATGAACGGATTCAAAATCAGCAGGTATGAGCCGAAAAGTGCCAGGTTATCACGCCTGAGAACTTTACCAGACTTGTGAGCTCCTTCTTCGTCACCCGTGCCTGTACCGCTCTGTGACTCTCTCTGCTCCGCCCATATCTCTGGCGTTCCAAAATCGGTTTCCTCCTCTTCTGCTTCTGCGTCTTCATCTTCATCTTCAGTCGGGGTCTCCTCTGAGTACGAGGGCACGGTTGGAGACTGTACGAGGTCTTCAAACTTGGTTCCATGCTCCACCTCGATAATCTTCCTCGCTGCCGCAGTGAGCACGTCCTTTCCCCACAAATTCTCTCTGGGTAGTGCGAAAATCGACATCAGCCTGATAAGTTCCAGTCTCATCTCGAGATCGCAGCAGGTTGTCACCAGAAAGAACAGATTGGCCCCGAAGCCGGTCTCGAATACGAACGGGGGCGATACTGGGTCCGAGAAAGGCCCTTCATGTGGAATCTGTGACTCCAACCATGATAATTGCTTGAGCACCCGGTCAAAGTTGTCCACCGATCTTTCATAGCCTGACTTGGGATCATCAAACGCAATGTTGAGCCATATCCGGCAGCACTCGTAGCGGGTCAACAAGAAGCAACGATACATCTTGAGCCCGTAGTCCGCGCCATATTTGCAGTGCTTGGCAGCCAAGGCATCCAGCTCTGTCATTTTTGGGTCGAACTCGCTGAACAGCTTCAGCCACGTATTTAACAATCGGCTGATCGTGGATTTGTCGGTAAAGTACTGAGAAAAGACCGATATTCTCTTTTGGGGTTCAAACATGCCAGACGCAGTTTTCGGTAGTGAATGGGACTTTCGGCTTGAACGCATAATCCTTGTTGTGTGGTTGAAGATTCCGTCGAGCATCTCTTGTGCTTCGGAGAAGGTTGAAAACGTAGTTGGTATCGGCCCCGCCAAGTCTGAAATATCGGAAAACTCGGAATTCTCATCGCTGAAGAAGAAAGCAAATTCGTTAAGTCGTCGGAAAATGGGTAAAAGATGTTGTTGAGTCCAAGCATGCTGGGGCGAGGTCTTCAAAATTTCGACGCCATGAGTGCAGTGTCTCAAAGCTGCCTCTCTGTCCCCACGTATGAACTCGATACAGACGAATAATACGCATACAAGAAGTACGACTGATTCTTTATGCTCTGATTTGATGTCTTTGAGCCCGTGAATGGCGTTGTTGTAGTGCTTAAGAGCTATTGTCTGGTCGTCGAAACGTATCTTCGCATTAGACTCGGGTGTGTAATAAGACTGCTGAAATAAGTCGCTGATTGAAATAACTGCGTGTCGTACAGCTGGCTCGAACGCGCTGAACTGTAACACAATATTGGTCCAGAAATAGGGATCCGCGGTGCCGGACATCAACGGACCCGCTGTCTCGCAAAAGAACTGCAGCGCATGGCCCTCACTTGACGATTTCGTTCCGGGGAAGACATGGTGTGGCCGGTGCAGGGTGAGTGTAGTCGCATCACGCGAACCCACTGGGTCTCGCACATCGATCTTCAGTAGGTAGCCGTCGCAGACTCGGCCTGTCTTGATGCAGCGAACGCACGACGGCTTGCCTTCGTCACACTTGACTTTCCGAGCCCTATCTATCTTGTCAGACGGTTGCACTTGGCAATAGAGAGACGAGCATGGCACGGTTCTTTTTCTTTCTCCCACCGGCGGGGTCCTGTCGTACTTACTTGCAGGTGATGCACCCAGTCCTGACTTTCCGGTTCCCTTTGCGGGCCATTCTTTTTTTTGTTTCTTTTCATCAACCCAGGTTCTTCCGCATTTGAAACAAAGGTCAGGCTCGGACTTTTCTGCAAGCGTATCCAGAGTCCGAGCTTTCTGGGTGTGGTTTTTTGCCTGGCGCGAGACTCGCTAGGGGCTTGATTGGCGAATGTTGCGCGAAAAGGTTGCGGGAAGAGGAGAACTTGCTCGGACTCGGGCGGGACACAAAAGACAACACACGATCGCAGAGAGATCCACGCGTGCCAACTTTGATTGGTTTGGGCGGGGCTTGCAAGGATTGATGCGAGCCGGCCAATCTGGACTCGTGATGTGGACAGGACCCCTGATTGTTTGTAAGGATTTGGCGTGAGCTAGCCGCCGATGCACCGTTGGGGACAACCAACACCGCTTTTCAAGTGGGAGACAATCAGCTCACTAAGCCTGTTTTGGTGTTGACGATGGGGCAAGTCCACAGACAGGCTGTCTTTGAGGGCGAATTTAGGGGATATGTTGCTATTCCTTCCGGAGGATTGGCCCCCATTATTGTTTTACCAAGAAACTCTCGCTTGTGAGTTAGCAGGCTCACCAAAATCGAATCGAACAATGAGAGGTTGATCAAGCTTACGTGAGATGAGCATCAATGTTTTAGGCAGACACATAAGAGCAATGAGCTAAAACCCGAAGTTCCATTCTACCTTAATCACGGAACTGCAAAGAATTATGGTCGAGGAGCCGGTAGGCATAAGAAATACTTTCATGCGCAGTATCATAAGTCTGGATAAAAAATACTTTCACTCGTTCTTTTTTCAATAAGATTGACCCGGAAGAGAGGACTGTGGAAAAATAAGAGTCTTTATTGAAGTACTTGCAACCCAACATGATCCCATAAGCATGCAACGTCGCGGAATGTTCTACCCAACCCTACCTTACGTGGGAGAAACTAGTTACGGTATAGGGGAAGAATTTTAACTTTGATCAAGTTCCCTACGGAGACACAAAGTCTGCCAAGGGTTTGCTCCAGGAGATCATTCCTGGTTTTTGCAATGGGCGCCGCCAAAGAACATGCAGTGCATCGGACCCTCAGGATGTACATTCACGGATCTGGGGAGGGGGGTACGAGGACCGTAGAACACCCCACTAGTCGCCTCTCTTTCTGAGCTACGTTCAGCACACGACGAGCATGTTGTCGAAACTGTTCAATACTCAGTGTTTTCGTCGACGTGAGCGTCATTGACGTCTTTTCTGTAGAGGTGTCTACCTATGGATGAGATGTATTATTTCTGCGTTTTTCGAATCCGGCGCAGCACCAATCAGTCCAGTAGAGACTTTCAAAAGAGCATGATGATGCGCGATTACAACAATGAGACAGGAAAGGGCTCCACTACACACCCGGAAGAGGTACTTTGGTCTCAGTCTTATGAGAATCTGATGATGTGAGGGAGTTTGCGGGACGCTTTTGAGATGTGGGGGAAGTCGAGTACGTTGGACAGATAGGAGATAGTACTGTCGGGATGTATATGAATATCAGGCAGCTAAAAAGGCACCATGGACGCACCATTCACCAAGTGCTCCATCATCGTACTCGTACTAACATGGTAGCCTTACGCTCTCGAATTTCTCGGCTGATGATCATACGCATACTGAAGTGGGGTAGGGCGCCTACCTAGCTAGAAACCACGCGTACGTAAGCAGTGCGCGTACGTATTTAACGCCCACGCGCGTATGCAGATTAGCAGCGTTCTTCCTAGAAATCAACATCTTGTAGCGGTCCTTTTACCGCGCCCTGCATTTTGTTCCTACACACAACCACCCCCCGTTTCAATACACCTCCGAAGGCCCAAGGGGCTTTCTAATTTGCTCCTGAAGCATAAGCTCAGGAACCTCATTCGAATTCAGTGTCCGTGGAATCGGTATGTCGCACAAATGAAAACAGTGCTGAGTATGTAATACCGCTAACGAATGCTGACAAGTCCAGAACCATACAGAGTTGTGGACCTAGGGCACAGAGCTGTCATCACGACCATCACATACGTTGAGCGTGGTTCACGGACAGCATACACAATACCTTCCCCAGCCAGACTCAGACAAGATGATAGCTAGGTAGGGGTAGAAGAACTAAGCAAGCCGTTGGCTATGTCAAGAATCTTGAATGAAAGCTCGGACGCTGTCTATCTTTGGAGGAATGCTGAGTCCCTGTCAACGTATGCTGAACGTAGAAAACGTTATCTCGTTGCTATATGCGACTCTATGTTCGGTCTGTGATTCAATGTTGACGAATCAACATTCACTTTAAACTTCTCCATGGGCCAAACCCATACAGCAGTGTGCACGTGTCTCCAAGATGACGACGGTTGCCAATTCCTCAGTCAAAGCTGTGATATGCTTGTACAGCCATGCGCTTCAGTAATACGATTTGAAGTTACTGTACGACTATGAGTTCAGAGGCTGGGTCAACTATGTTCAACCTAGTCGAGAATGGCGTTGTTAGAAATATGGCCACATGGAGGAGTGACTTCGGGATGTGGACTTCTAGGCATCCTCCTCCTCGGATCGAATTATACCTGACAGAGCAGTCGGACCCAATGCTGAAGAGATTAGCAGGATATCTTCAACAAAGCCACCTGCTCAATTCATGGATGTTTGACATCAGTTTGAACTTTCGTAAACGCAACTTCGACGCTATTCCTAGGTCGGTCACTACCAACAGCTCCTTGATCAAGTTCAATTACGATATCGGCGCTGCTGATTTCTCCGAACTCCAGCCCGAACAATCACCTCGGAGCTCGGCCAGCGGTGATCGGATCAGCCCTGGGGAGTCGCCCGAGCTGAGCTTATTTGGTGGAGGACTGCTCCACCAAGCTATTCCTCGAGAGGTTCAAGCGAGGCATTTCTTACTGGTTCGCATCGCGCGGAACACGAGCTCGTCCACTCTCGTAGGGATGGTGCCTGCATACGATGCTCCATAGCTGTTGATTAGATGATCTGATAACCTTTCAAGATTGAACCCTTGCCCGGTGAAGTTAGATGAGTCTTTTTCAACGACCTGCCCCATTGGGTCAAAATAAGCAGACGGTGGTCATTGCCAAGACTCGGGAGTTGTATCCAGCTTGGCTTCTCGTGAGCACAATGCTACATGCCGGTTACCGGCGACATGGCCCATAAAAGTGTAATTAATGAAGAGGAGATTAAGCGTCGCGACCTCGTGAGAGTGGGTGCGTTTTCGCGATGCAGGGCACTGCGAAAGCGAACAACGATGCAACGAAGTGCAATAAGTAGTAACCCAAGGCCTTGCCGTCTTGGCTTTCGCTTCGCCTGAACCGTCAAACCAACATTCGAGGTTCCGAGATCAATCGTCAATTCCACCGATCTCATCCAGGTCACCGGCAATGGCTCGATGGTATAGCATCGCGCAAGCGCTTCTTCTTGCTGCTGCACTTAGTCCGGCAGCGGCTGAAGAGAGCAGCTTTGCCGGTCGCCGCAATCGCTTGACCAATCCGGCGTCTGAAGCCGCTTCTGGCCGGTATATCGTTGAGCTACAAGCCTCAACCGGCCCCAATGCCAGGCAAGATGCCACAGTCGCAGACTCTGTCGTCGACCACATCACATCCCTGGGATACGACGCCAAGCTCAAGGACGACTTTTCTGCTATCTCCGGTCGCTTCAAGGGCGTTTCGGTGGAGATCACGAACGATAAGTCCACCGGCGCTCTTGATGACATCAAGAGTATCCCGGGTGTGGCAGGCGCGTGGCCGGTGTATCCCATCACCCTGGACGCGTCTTTCGAAGTCACCACGGGCTCGCAGAAATGGAACCCACACATCGCTACTCGCGTTGACGAGCTTCACGAGCGCAACATCACTGGCGCAGGCCAGCGCGTCTGCGTCGTCGACAGTGGCGTCGACGTATTGCACCCAGCTTTGGCCGGCAAGGTTGCCGGCGGCAAGAATCTGATCGAGACGAACTCAACGGAGCTCACCGACTGCGCTGGCCATGGAACCTTCGTCTCGTCTGTCATTGCGGCATCGCATAAGGACTTCTCTGGCGTTGCACCAGGCTCTGAGATCTACATGTACAAGGTCTTTGGGTGCGAGGACTCGACTTCCAATGACATGGTCCTCAAGGGTATGCTTGCTGCCGACTCGGACGACTGCGACATCATTTCAGTGTCCATTGGAAGCAACACTGGCTACGCCAACTCCGTTCTCTCCCGCGTCGCTAGCGAGATTGCTCAGGATAGACTCATCATCATTGCTGCCGGTAACTCGGGTGAGATGGGGCCGTACTTTGCCAGTTCTCCCGCCGCTGGCCGTGGTGTTGTCTCCGTTGGATCTGTTGAGGCTTCGCAGGCCCTCGGATGGCCAGCGACTCTCATTTCTTCCAGCGGCCAATCATTGAACATCTCTTATGTCACACCCGATGGCACCAAGTTCAACCAGACGGTCGATGTCCCCATCGTTCTGGACAGCGGTGACTCCTGCAATATTGCTGGCTCTGGGTCTGAAGACACGGCTGTGCTGGCTAAGCGGGGTGTATGCCCTCCTGCAAGCTCATACTCTTCCATCGCAAGTGGCGGCTTCGGGTTCGGCATCCTCTTCGATTCGTACAAGCAGGGCGCTTACTACATGTCTGACGTGACCCCCTGGTCCGACACACTCAAGTTGATGGCAGTGACGACTTCATCCGTCGGTGACTGGGCTTCGACGCAGATTGGAAGGAACTACACTCTTCGTCTTCAGATTCAAGCAGACGCCCAGCCCGCGGCATTCGCCGCAGAGGTTCCCAGTTCCGGTCAGATCTCGAGCTACACATCCTGGGGCCCAACATACGAGAATGGCTTTTCGCCCATCATCTCAGCCCCCGGAGGTGTCGTTTATGGCGCGTTCCCCAACAACCGGTATTCCATCTCTTCGGGAACCTCATTTGCGACGCCCTACATCTCTGGTGTTGCAGCCTTGTGGTTTGCGCATGCGAAGAAAGATCGCGCCGAGTTCGTCCGCCGCTTGACTTCGACTGCCGTGGCTCTTCCTGCCTTTGACAACGGCGACGCCCGTGTCGTGGCGGAGATTGCCTCTCTTGCACAGCAAGGTGCTGGTCTCATTGATGCTTCCAAGCTGTTTGACAGCACTACGGTCTTGCTTTCTGAGCCGACCCTCTCATTGAATGATACCGACAACCGTGTCACAACGCATACCATTCGCATCCAGAACACCGGGACCGAGGAAGTGACTTATAACGTCACTCACATCCCGGCATCTACGGTTGCCCCCAGAAACTCGATCTGGTACCCCAACGTATACTATCCGCCTCTCCTGTCCGCAACCGGCTCACTTGCGGATGCAAAGACCGTCACCGTCCCTGCTGGAGCTACTCAGGAGATCGAGGTCACCCTGTCTGCCCCATCTCTCGATGCCGACAGCGGCGCACTTTGGAGTGGCAAAATCCTCTTGGCAGGCTCTAATGACGACCTGATCACCATTCCCTACATCGGCGTCGAAGCTTCGACGTACAACTGGACCCCGCTACACCACGGCCCAGAGTCATACCGATACGATGATTCTAACGGTGACCTGCTTCCGATCGACTATCAAGGGCGGGCCTATCGCCCAGCCGAGGGCGAGTCACCGGAGACCTACTTCGCCTTCAGATACGGTACATACGAGTTCTCGGTGGACTTGGTCGGCGTGGATTGGACCACAGAACAGTTCTCGTACCCACCCCAACATGGTTCCGGGTCCAAGGCTTGGCTTGGATCTGTTAGATCCCAGCCCGTTGTCCCCGGCGGGTACATGGACTTCCCCATGAGAGAGGTTGTCCGCTTCAACCAGGGTAGCTTCATCACCTTCCGTGCATTCGCCAACGGAACCGACATCCCTTCGGGCCGCTACCGCATTTTCACGCGTGCTCTGCGTATCTTTGGAGATGCATCCAACCCGAAGGACTGGCAACTCTTCCTCTCGGACCCGTTCTCAATCCAGCTTGGCAACGATCCCATCCCTGGTCAGAATGCAACTTTCACCACGAGACAACCTTCAGCAACTGCGCCTGCCACGGCGACCTCCACGGGTGCTCCCGTTACAACATCTGCCGTTGCTACGACCGTTCCCATCTCCGTTCCAGGCCCTACCACAACTCTCACCGCCACTGCCACGCCAACTGGTCTATCGGGTGCTTTCACTTCTCTCAAGCTTCAGCGCCTCCGCGAAGACACTCCTTTCATCACCGATCCCGAGGCTTGGATGGAACTCCACATTCAGATTTCCCTTCCCAGTCCAGTTGCGACAGACTCGGTCCTGACCTTCGCCGTTCCCGCTGAGATCACCGACATCGCCGAGGGCGACCAACTGTCTGCGTCTGGTGCCCAGGCAGGATCCACTTCCTTCGACGCCGAAACCCGTCTGTACACCATCGCTCTCGCCGACTGGACTACTTGGAACAAGAACATGGTCGGCGACTTCTTCCTCATGTGCCGCTTCACGCCGGCGTTTGCCGCTTCGATGAAGCAAGGCACATATGTGGTCGAGTTCCCCACCGTCGGCAAGGTTCATCAGGCTACAGTGTACTACACAGCGGTGGACAGATCAACCATATACGACCGCCTGGTGACATCGCCCTATGACGGTGCCAGCTTGTTCACAGTTGAGGCCGAGATTCCCGCCTCCCTGGGCCCGTGGGACTACGTTCGCGTGGAGACGTCCCACTCCAGTGACTCGGACGGTTTTGTCTGTGACAACTCTAGCGTCATTGTCGGGAACGAGTTTGACGCCGAGAATCGTATCACGAGTTTCACTGATGTTACTGCCGAGGCCGTGGAGGTCTGCAACGTGAAGAGCTTCCGGGCCGTATACAACCGGACCCTGACTGGCGATGATGTTCTGCGTTTCACGATGGGAAGCATTCAGGGCGACCGTCAAGCTTGGACGCTTAACCTCGTCTATCTGTTGGATATCCAATTGTCAAACGGAACTCTGGTATTGTATGATGCCAGGAACTGGGCGTTTGAGAAGAACCCCCGCTTGAGGAGCCAGTCCTTCAATGCATTTAGTGGCGAGCGCGCCACCTAACCACTTCTTTGATTCCCCCATGTAATTATTCTACTTCGTTGTACATATTCAGCATTTTCAAGACGCAATACAGCGTGTACATAAATGCAAAGTGTCGAGAACTGACATCAACTTGTTTCTCACCCAAGTTTGGTCCGAGAGATTATTGAGTGACTACTTGCCCGCAGCACCGATGTGATGCCTGCGTACGATAAATGCCTTGATTTTGCCTTGAATCTATGAATGGATTGTGCCTAGCCAGTTGAGCCCATTGTCAAGGTTCAACCATTAGATTGAAGAAGTTCCACTTGAATCGCCAAGATGCTGTCAGAGGCCTGTGACAGTTTTCACATGTGCTCTGGGGCTGGTCCGAGTCCGCCACCTTAAAATATCATTTACATAACAAGCTCGTAAATCAGAGTTTTAGGGTCGCATACGTGGGGGGCCCCTCGGATATGACGATCCAGTTCAGAAGTCTTGTCCCGGACCCAGACAGGGATGGTGATTATCAGATGATCTGATAAGATTAGATGGGAGGAGCCTGCCGCAGGGGCCCTTTAGGTTCTCGGTCGAGTCGGCCCCGCTGAATACGCTCAGCAGCCCGCTCCTTTCTGGGATGGATCGGCTGATGGCACCGTGGAGTTGCTTTGCCAAGATTCATGCCGATAGCGCGCGCGATATCGGTCGGCGCAGTTTAAGGGACGAACTTCCTGTTCTGGACTAAGTTTCTGGGCTTGCCGGAGGGAGGAGTTCAGGTAGGATCTGAAGCTGTTGAAGATAAAAAGGGTTGCTTGGTACGGGGCAATCAAGGGAGTTTCTTAGACATCTTCATACAACATTGCTCGCGCCTCAACATCAATATCCACCACAAAACTTCTTTCTACAACTTAAAGATGCGTTTCTCCATCACCTGCGCCGTGGCTTTCGCCGCTTCGTTGGCCTCTGCCACCCCTCTCGTCACCCGCAACCAGGTCTCTTGGGACTTCCCTGAGGAAATGCTTGCCAAGCGCCAGGACGTTCCTGCTCCTGGTACTCCTGCCTACCTCTGCCACGAGAATTGCGGTAAGTGTAGCGTTCATTCACATGACGTGAGTCTCAAACTGATCAATCTTTGCTTCCAGGTACCTCAATCACTTTGTCCCGCGAGGCGGGCTATTGTGAGAACTTCCAGTGGATCGCCAGATACGACGCTTGCCTCAAGTGTGCGAACGCCCAGAACGTTTGGCAGTACTACGGCACCTCCGTCACCGCGGCGGCGGCTGCTTGCGGTTTCACTGCTGTTCCTGCCAAGCTCTAGGTCCAGCGCATTATCTGGGATTCTTGAAGAGAACTTGTAGTATCCATGGGGATCTACGTCGATAAATGATTTGTATGAAGGAATGCGTACATGGTAGTTTGATTTGAACGTGAAAAACTGTACATAATGACATCAATAATCACAAACCGATTGATACAAGAACTTCCGCCTAGGACCTGTGAAGAAAACGTGCAAAGAAAGAAACTAGCCCTAACAGCCGAAATCATGGGGAACACAGCAGCTTAGACTGTTTATGTCCTCAACCCGTCATCCGAGCTTCTTAAAGATATGCTCCTCGTTGAGTTCCCTGGACTTTGAAAGTCACCGATGTCTTTCCCCGTTGCTTCAATTTCTAGAGTGATCCCTTCCTCAGTGAATGTAGTCCCCGAAGAACTAGTTATGCTATGTGCGAGACTGTTTTGAGAAAAAGACCTGCCCAGCAACTTGACTACTGAAATCGGCAGCCCAGCTTTGCTCCGACGTGGAACCTCTCCGTCGACGAATGTCACTCTGTTGCTGAGATCTCGGCCACCGGCGACGGGTTGGACGGGAGCTGATGTAGTTGTGTCGGTATCGGTCCTCAGTCTCGGGCGGCCCATTGCGGGGTACCGTGATTCGAAGTCGTCAAAAATGTCCATGACATGTGAAAAGTAGGCTAGCCTGCGACCAGTAGGTGCGTCTTCTTCGTAATGGTTACGCCCCCAAACATGGCCGATGAATGCCTGCGTCTCGTCGTCGATGATGGCTGCTCCGGAGTCGCCCGGTATGCCAATACCCCCGGCATTCCACTTTTCAACGGTCAATATGTCTGGAACGTTTTCGAGATACCATTCGCGGGTAGGTTCTCCCGGGCCCTGCTTAACAATGATCGGCGTTTCGCATACTGACGCGTATCTAAAACCGCTACTGCGACCAGTACAGCGAACCAGTCGAAGGTTGGGGCTGCCCAAAAATATCTCTGAGATTAGACCTGAATGCGGTTCAACTTCACGGTCATTTGGGGCGTATCGAATGAAATTTTGAAGCAATAAACCGTTGCCTTCAAGATCGCAGAATGCCCAGTCGGTTTCTACCCTTGGTATTCCTGGAGGGACCTTTGGACAGAAGTCTTGAATAGACCTGGAGACCCGTTGGGTCCGATACATCTTGAATCCCGAGTGTGCGCCAAGCTTTGCAATGCGCTGAGGAACTATTCCCCTTGGACAGTCGATTCCTGCTGGGTGCACAAGATAGCAGTCTGACTTTTCTTGCTCATCCTTGATTCCTGGAGCTCCGTCGAAAAGGTGAAAGTTCACGAGACACCCAACTCGTTCACTCCACTTAATTGCTGGGCCAAGTGTGGCTGCATATTCACCGTTCTCAAACCCAACAGAGTCACCTATCATTAGACGTGAGTGATAGTCGGCGTTATACGGTTCTTCCGTTCCAGAGGTGCGCTTGACGACTCCGATGGTGAAAGATATGGTAACGCGCAAAGATCGCTCCGGTGTAAAGATCTTCGAGACATTATTCCTGAGCTCTTGATTTGTGTTTTCAGGGAGCCTTTTCTTGGTAACAACTTCCACAATTCTGAGGACGCCAGACTCGCCGTAGTCAGCCTGGATCGAGATATTGTAATCTGTGATGTTGCCTTCATCCATGGTCTCCTTCAATCGCGGCAGTGCTTCATCCTCCCATATCTGATTGAAGTATTCGGACGTTCTCTCACGCTCCTTCAGTTTGGCTCGGATAGCTGCCAGTTCTGTGAAATCTGACATTGTCGATTTGTCCAGTGGAAAGGTGGGATGCTTGGACTTTGCAAAAGAGCTTTGAGAGGCTTCGAGCGATAGCTGGCCGTTTTCTTCTTCGGGTATTCCTTCAGGTTGCGATCCTGGCTCTGCCCTTGGCACAACCGGGCCACGGAGTGACGGAGGAGGAATATGAGACTCGGACCGCGTCAGCCGGGGCATGCATACGATGGCCTGGGCCACCGTGGCCACAGATCGTATTGAGCTGACGCTCACGCTCTTCACGCTCTCCCAAGTCTTTGATCGTGTGGAACGACGGTGGGGAGGCGAAGGAGGAGATGACAAATCTTGCTGCTGCGCCTCATCTTTCAGCTGCTCCTGTTCTACTGCAAAGCCGAGACCCACGCGTCCGGGCGAGGGCGGAATTGCTGTCGACTCCGGATGCCGAGAAGCTGTGTGATGAATATCTTCTGCATCTTCCCCGTCCCAAACTCTCCCTCGATTTCCAACTTTTATGTCCTTTCTGCTGGGTGCCGAGTAATTGTTATGGTGGACATTGTAATTCTCCCTAACGAATTTCGGTTAGTCAGGCCGTATTGTTGGGTTTGGGACAGCATATCTGGTGGAAATTACTTCTCCGAGAATTCATCGTGGCGCTTTCGAGATTTGTTTCGAAGCTTGTGAATCAGGCGTTTGAGGGATGCTAGCTTATCGGTAAAGTGCAAGCTCATATTGGGCTCCCTTTGTGGTCAGGTGCAAGATCGGGAGTTAAGGCGGCAATGAAAGCTGCCGTCCCACTGTAACAGTGCCAGTTGCAAAGCCAAGACTGAAAGCACCCGACTCCTCTGCGGGAGGGGCAAATACGCTCGGAAACATGATTGCTTAAATGATTCAGGCCCTCACAGCCTGATCCTCGAAACTGACTTTGTTGTTCAGGAGAAATGCAAACAGAGTGCCCCGATGGATTCGTGGCTGGGGGCTGTGTTCGGTAACGGTTCGAAGTGGACGAGAAGTGGAAAAAAGTAGAAAAAGTCCAGAGGCCGCCGTTCATGCGGCGTGGGTTCACCGACATAAGCAGACTGTCGCTTGCGGTTAGCGCCTTGTTGAGTGTGTGGGCTTCCTTCCAGGCGAAGCACCAACATGGTCTCAGCCTGGTCTCGCTTCAGCTGTTGGGTCACATTGCTGACTTTTTGCACATTGTGACGAGTAACACCGCCTGACGGCTGCCTTAACTGTGCCATTGCATATGCGTCTCGAAATCTGCAATTGCCAAATCGAAGTAGCGGTCACTGACTGAGTGAACCCAACGACGTAATCATCCACTTGGGCTCGTATCATTACTAGGTAAGTACATGTAAGATATGAGGTCCGGATATGGAATTATTATTACTTCGTACTTCTCATAGCGAAGCCTTCAATTGCAGTTTCTCTTGGCAGAAGCCTTACTGGCAGCCTCCGCTTCACTACTCCAAGATCTGGGTGCTCTTCAGTTCGCTGTATGCATCAGACCCATGTACAACGCAATTCGCAGCAGAAACTCCAAGTAGCAACTTTAGAATCAACCTTCCATTCAAGCAATACAGAAATACCATGATACTGAATCCAAGTCTATGTAGCATCAATGATGAACTTTCATTGCATCAAATATTATCTCTTCTAGTAGTGAAAGCTTTGTCACTGCTTCCGCATTTAACTCCAGCAAAGCAAGTATTATTTTATGAAACGAGAATCGGCCTCCTGCCTTCCCCTTTGTCATTTGGAAATCTTCTGCAGTGGGTCTTTGGTAGGTGGTTGGAGTTCACCCCGCGACTCACCAAGTTTGTGGTGGTGAGCATTTGCAAGGGCTGTATTAGTCGTCAACTCACAACCACGCACCAAAGCAATGTTACGCGTCTAAGCACAACCACCTCGAGCATCATGTAACCATAATTCTACGCGTCTAAACAGTAGAGAAGACTCAGTCACATGACCTGGTGGGCAGGTAGTCTGAAAAATAATTAATTTTGATCTTGCTGTTTTGATTCCAACCCAAGCAATCCGAACTATCACAACCTCCTACTCTACTAAGTTTCATTGCTCCTCTCATCAAACACATCGAAATCGCACCAGCCATCACCATGAAGGCCATCAAAATGCTTCTCCTCCTGGCCGGCATCTTTCTGATGATGCTTGGCGTCCAGTACGACGAGCGCGAGGGCGAGCGTCGCGACCAGCTCCCTCTTGGCTGGTTCGGTGGCGTTTTCTTCCGCGGCGTCGCTGCTCAAGATATTGGTACCCGTTACGATCGCTGCTTCGCTGCCCCCGATACTGCTTCCATTACCCAGACTTCTGTCAATCACACCCAGGCGGACGACTACTTCAAGACGGCCGGTGACAATATCTACGCTGTCCCCGGCTCCCTTGACTTCTGCCCTATCGACTCCTTCGACGAATTCAAGCACATCATCGAGGACAAGCTTTCCGGTATCAAGGAGGGCGTTGAGCATGATATCGAGGCCATTGAGTCCGCCGCCAGCAAGATCATCGACCACGCTTACAGCTTCCGCAAGAGTGTACTCGCCTACCTCGTTCGCATTGTCACCTTCGGTCTCTACTCTGTCGAGGAACTTGAGGCCATCGTCACCGCCGATCCTTGCGAAACCCACCATGATGACGACCCTGACTTCGTCCCCATTATCGAAGCTCTGGGAGACTTCATCGTTGAATACGTCATCGAGCTCAAGACTGGAATCCACAACTCCTTTGCGTCCCTCCACTACTGGGTTATCACTCAGTCCACCGACTTCATCTATCTGTCCTTCATGAGCGCTGGCTTGACTGTCATGGCGGCTCCCGGCCTCGTGTCTGGACCTGTCTTGGGTGTCATCGCCTGGGGCATGCCTAAGTTCGTTAGTGGTAAGTTTCCCGAGCTCCCCTGAACAAGGCTACGATGTACAAAGCTGCTAACTATTACTTGCAGAGTGGCTTACTGCCATGATCATGCACATGTTCGACGAAGAGGTCGCCGTCGGTATCATCCGCCTCTGCGAGAGCGCCATGACTGGTGGCCCGGGTCTCGAAGCCTTCAACTACCTGATCAAGACCAGTGGCCTCGCCGCTGTTCTCCTCGCGTTCGCCGGTCTTGTGGCCGACTTGACCAACAAGTAGAAGATGGGAAGGTTAAGGTGCCGGGATGGTGTCTAGGTCGGCTGGACTACACTTGTTTGGACTGGCTATTACTTGGAAACGCCCTTCTGGCTCTTTCTTTCATCTCCGTTGCTTGTCTCTGGCTGCGGCCAACATCGCGTGGTTATCCCCGAAGGAGAGGGGAATAACTAGCCTAGGATCGTGGTTAAGGATACCACCATGGAATTGAGGCATATTTCTGACCTCAATGAGATGCCTCGTGCTCCCGTATTCGTGATGGAATGTTATCGTGACGCTTGCGGACGCCTCCATTCCGTGTCTCCGGCTGCTGGGCTCGGTCATAATGGCAACTGAGATGCTTGCGTAAAATTGGTTAACATTGCTGCCTCAGCTATTATTAGGGTGTTGTATCAAGCCGCTGGAATCAAAAATGTCCTCCTCGTACCTAGGACTGAGCATCATCTTCAACGAACTCCAGTACAATGGCTGGCTCGAGATGTGTTTGCTTCCTATGGCTAGATTGTGGGCTTCAGTTGTTAGTTCCATTGCCCTTGTCACCTAAGTCTAGATAAACCAAACTTTTGGAGTCGCAATGTCGATTAGAACTCGAGATACTGAGAAATAAAAGGCGGTGGTTCTCTTAGAGGCATCGCATGTTCGGTCGGAAGGTTCTCACCCCACTCTCGGCCGGTTCACCCATGCATCGTGAAGTACCCACCGCGAGGGCTTCAACCCCACGTTCCGTCCCACATAATTAGCAATTGCGACATTCGTAATCATCCAACAGTCGGTCTATTAGTCTAGTTGGTTAGGACGTCGGATTCTGATCTCACAATCAGTCCCTTCCGTAAGCCCAGGTTCGAATCCTGGATGGACCTTTCTTTTGCTCTTTTGATGTCCTCACTTCATGTGGTTCAGGCGTCATTTTTGTCGGACGAACTCTGTCCAGCATACCTCATGAACGTGTGAATGAATTTTCTACTTTTACGCTATCATACAGACCGTTACTTCATTAAAGCGTTCCTCCATCATCGACCTTGGCCGTCTGGCCGCCCAAGTACTGAAAGTCACCATCCCCTCTTACCCCAATCGTGAATACTCTTGCTTGCCCCAACGCACGATGGAACCATCCCAACCGGAAATTCAGATCGGATAGCCTGCCATGAAGCTCGTCTGTCGACAACAACTGGGTGCTCTCCGGCAGATGATCTGACGCATTGGACCCTCGCAACAGCGCACCCATGGTCGCCATGCTGTGAAACCCATCCGGAGCCAGACCCTTGACATCCAAGTGGAATGGCCAGTTCCTGCCCACCATGCGCTTCGTTACCACGGACAGCACCGCGGAGATGTGAGTCAACGCCACCGCTACCAGGATCGCGACCAGGATGTACGTAACCGTTGCGTTCTGCACCAGGCGACGTCTTCCGTTGTCGCTGACAACTGCTTCTAACGATAGAAGCTCGTCAGGAGGCGCTGCGTTCCTGGAGCGTGATGTCAGGTTGTATCGGTTTTCGATGTTGACCAGCTGCGCGGCGACTAGGCCGTAGTTGTGTTGCAGGCCCTGCAGGATCTCTTCATCCTGGCTCGCGTCTCCGAGTGCTTCGAGAGGAAGCTTTCCGAACGGCTCTATCAACGCTTTGAATTGTTCGCCAATCCAACCAGCAAGCAAGTTGGCGACGGCTAGTTGGGGATAGGCATCACCAACTTGGATGTTGGTGAACTGTTGATCGACCTGGGGTATGTCCAGAGTAGGAGTCCACGGCTTGACTGTGGACAGATCTGCTTGCGGGGGCCTTTCGGGGTCCAAAACGTACTCGCCATCATTCGCGGCCAGATGAACCTGCGTGGTTGCTTCGACCCAAGTGTAGTTGCACCTCCACATTGAAAAGTAATCGAAGCCATTCTTTTCCGTCGAGAACTTGCCCCAAGCGTACGTCTGATATCTCCATGATGCGTACTCGTAGTCAGTCGCGTTGACGCCTAGACTACAAGCCATATTGATATCGGCCGTGTTTTGCGGAGAATAGAAGACATCCGCCATGTACGAGACACCAAGTCGATTCGTCGCGACGCCCATATCCAAGCGGTTCAATAACTCAGCTGTGGTGCCATTGGGGCAGCTGAACGGCTGAGTGATGATGGCTTCGTAGTACTTTGTCTCTTCTACCCAATTGGTAATGTTGATATTGTACTCTGAGTCGGGCACCTTGAAGCACTCCATCGGATGCAGCTTTGCCGCCGGCACTGTGGCTGTAATGGTTGTGTTTGGTGATACTGCAACCGTATCAACACCACCAAGGACCGGGAACACAAGGTCATCGTAAGTGTTCTTCGGGTACGCCAGCGACGCTTCACCTTGTCTGGTCACAAGACTGCTCAGCAGTTGTCGGTTGCTCCTCGAAAGAGATAGTCCGTCAAGTCCTCTCCCAATCTCTGTCGAGCCAAACCAACTTTCCTGTTGGAGCTGGATGTTGTGGGAGTCTGGAATCGACTCAACCGTGAAAATGACAGATACCAATGTCGTAAGGAAGGCGCAGGTTATTGCTAGTGATTGTGACAATGTCACGGCCCAGACGCGCTTCCTTAGAGAAAGGTAAAGGGCCCGAAGGCCCAGCATATCCATCAAGGAAACATCGAGATCCCTCGCACTGCACGAGCGAGTAGAAAGACACGAGAGGATAGCCAGACCCCTATACGCGAAGTCGCAGCAGCTTGTGTACAGGGAGACGCCGAGCATGACCAGAGCTGGGATTGAAGTCCAAAGCAGGTGAAGGTACCCTTCCTCGGTCACTGATGCCAACCCCTGCGATGCCTCCGAGACTCTCAAGGCGTACAAGAGCCCGACGACGATGGCGAACGTCAGCAAAGCAGACAGACCTCGCGCCCACGTTCTCAAAACTAGTGGCGTAAAGTCGCATTGGCTCCAGACAGTTGAAGAGGTGTTGTTGGTGACATTGTCCGCGAGCACGGGATGTTCTTTGAAGAAGATCATGTTGCCGAGAATTGTCGCGGGGTCTCTGTACCAGACCGCAGTGCGATTCGTGTGCCGAATCAACACTGATGCCACCACAAGACTGAGCAGAGCAAACAGCGCTGCCATGGTCCAGCAGACCCATTGGTTGACAACCAGCTTGCTGACGCTGTCGACGGTCGATCCAGTGACAGCTGGTTGGGACTCGTCATCCACCCGAAGCCGATAGTGTCCAAGCAGGGGTCCAAGGGCTTGGGACATATTCAATACCGCGAACTCCAGGATCTCGTTGGTATACAATAACGGGTTCGAGACGTTCACTGCCACCGCAAGCGACTCGCCTCTGAATTGGGAGAGGGAATCAATTGGTCCTGCAACCCGGCCAATACCCGTCGTGCCCCAACGACCACCAGCTTCGGGCATAGCTGAGTTGAGCATAGTCCATAGGTCAGCAGTTACCGGCGTCTTGTCTTCGTTGGGCAACTCTGTGACGTTCGGACTCACGCCATCGTCGACTACCCTGACCTTTGACACCCACCCGGTAGAGGTGCAGAGCACCGCTGCAACATTAAGAAAGTCCGGCTGCGATGCATTCTTGGTCGAGCCCCCAAATCTCGCAGCGTAGTAAAGCGACTGGTTAAACTGCTGCGGCAAGTTCGGACAAGGCTTGCCAACCGAATTGGTGACCACCCAGTTACCGGTGGTCTGTTCTTTCGCAGTCTTGTTCTTATCCCACAGAATCCGGTCGCTAATCACAGGCACCTGGGCGTCACAGCCTGGAAACGTAAGGCTGACATTGAACGTGTGGTAGTTGAAGCTAGAGACGACTGGTGCGGACGCGGTGTAGTCTTCCATCTTCAGGCAGTCGATTTTCGAAAAGTAGCCGTCGACGTCGACGCTCAGAGGCGAGCTGGTCGTCCCGCGCGCGGTGCCGTTGCTGAATTTGAAGGTCTGATATGCTAGATTCTCGTTGACGCCGAAGGGGAAGCGCATGTCGAAGTTGACGAGAGCCTTGGCCATGTAGTAAGCGCTTCCCTCTGTATAAGTCGTGGCCGGAGCGGTAGTGTTGAAGGAGTTAAGGACTTGGACTTCGGCCGGTTCGGAGACTCGGATGGCGGCCAGGCTGTAGAGGGAGGGAGCAAGAACGATCTGGATCTTGAGGACGAGAGAGACAAAGCAGATGAGGAAGACGAAGAAATGCCTTCTTTTCAAGGATTGAAAGAGAATTGCGGGGGACAGCATGGCTGTATAATCGAGGTTGTAGATGTCTTCATTTGTGCCCTGCTCTTGTGCTCGACGGTAAGCCATCCAAGGCATGTATCGTATGGCTTGAATCTCGACTCGGGCCCAAAACAAGGAGATGATGGTTAGGACTAGGATGAATGAAAGTCAGCAGTCTATCGGCCGTCCTCAATTGAATTGCACTTACTTGCGGTTGGGCCGAATCGCCACAAGTAGACAAGATTCTCTCTCGTTCTGACAAGGCCATCGTTCTCCTGCGAGTACCAAAGCATCACGGGAAGGACGATTGTCAAGGCGATGAACAGCGCCAGGAAGGTTGATAGAGTGACTGGTCGGAGCCAGACCGGGCGCCATCTCGCATTCTCCACGCGATGGATAGAATTCCCACCTCCCTTCGCGCTGCTCTTTTCCGAACTAAAGGCGGCATCGCTCAGCAGTCCATGGTGACTGTCCGGTGTCGGGCGAATATCCATAGGAGTTTCGATTGGATATGCGTCATTTTCCTTCGTTGTGAAAGGCTTCGTGGATGGCCGACCATAGCTGCCGGTGAAGTAATCGTTCGCGCCGGGCGCCGAGGTCCGGGAGTCCGTATCGTGTGGCGCCATCTCGGTAGTAAGGCCGGGGCTACTCCCGATTAAGTTTCGGAGGATTCGATTGTACCCGCTCGGTGGGCGTAGGGCTTGGATCGGATCGCGAAAAGAAGCAGCCTCCATGCATCTATCCTATCATGACCACATGGCTGAACAACAATGCCAAGACATACACGCTAAGAACTTTGGTAGAGATCATTCGGGTGCGCAGCGGTGTTCACTTATGTATGAAGAGGTCGTAGGATTCAACGTGGCGGGCCCATCTTCCCACGGCCAGGGGAAGAGTTTCCTATCCGCCAACCACATGATCAACTCTCCCGATCGCGAATTCGCTGGCCAGTGAGGGCAATTTTCTTCTGAGCCGCGCAAGGTTTTAGACCCCAGAAGCCTTGCATTAGACCCGGATGCCGCTTCAGCTCGTGCTTGGCAATGCATGTCAGACTCAAAACTGGCAGCCGGCGCGTTGAAGGAGGGACTTCAGTACAGCCCCTGCATGACGCCACAAATCATCGCCTTCTCAGTCAATCATGAGTCTGCAATGACCAAGTTGATGGAGTGCAGACAGGGACTCGACGTATATTGGACTCTGTAAAGGTCGATTTGCGCCACAGGCTCGGGTCTCTAAATGGTTGCCTAAGAAGTGGTTCACTTTTTATGGCGGTGTTTTGAGTCTTTAGGCAGCACGGTAGCATCACATTCAAACCCCGCTTTCCGGCGGCTAGCTGAAGACCATGAACAGGGGGGCCTCCCGGGCTAGAGTCTGGAGATGAGAGTCTGGATATGGGCCACGCTCTTCGGGTCAACCTTTCCAAATCCTTCCAAGTTTGAGCTAAAATTCGAGAGCGCGCTTGCTGATGACCCGACAGCTGTCATGGGCCACGAGCTCGTGACGGCGTAAATCTTGATGCACAGCCGTTGAGACCAAGAGATGTAGTGGCTGCTTGTCATATTGCAATAGCGCCGAGCCAATCTCTTTTCATCTCGACGACTGATGTTTACCTTGTTCTAAGACAGTTGCGCATCAGGTAATGCCGCTATGAAATAGGCGGGTAAGATGAAGTCCGCTGGGGAAGATGCTGACTTCTTGGACAATTACTACGCAGTACACTAGCGAATTTCATCTTCTACCTTCAGCCACATCCAATTTGTGGAAAGTCAGAGACAATCTTTGGGACGGGGTGTGCAGACTGATTGTCGTCACATACAGTACTTTTTTGGCTCTGCGGCTTCATTTTAACCTTTAGGCCAATCATGGATAGACCAACAAGCAAATGCCAGAATGTTTGCAGGTGAGTTCTTGCGGTACGGACCGCGCATTTGCGTTCCTGCGTCATGGCAGGGGTTGCCGGCTTCGTGGGGCTGGGCTGACTCGGACAGGCTTTGATAGGTCCTGATAAGGTGACAGCGTCTGGTTCTCATTGACCATCTGACATTCATCGTTCATGATCAGTTCAAGGCCCGAGATTCGTGTTGACCCTTTCCCAAAAGATCGAGGGCTCAGAATCGACTTCTATCACAAGTTTCACATGCCACTGTATCATAGCCCTCGTAACACCGATAAAGATGATTCGCCCCCGAGTTCTACATACCCCCGTTGTTGTCCCATACCCTCGCTCTTTGGGCCGCAGAATCTTCAAGCCCGACCGACGGCAATAAGCACGGAAACCCACTCACCAAGTTGCACTAAGCAGTTCTGAGGCCCCCGATACCACTCCAAACTGAGATGACGTCCTGCGTAGACCGGGCCGGCCACCCGTAAAAACTTGTGATTAATTGGGTCCAATTCAAGATAAGAAAATTCGATTTCCTTTGCGAAATTCGCCTCTCGCCCTTCTTTCCTCCCTTTCGATCATCAAGACACGGCATGCTTCCAAGTTGACAGTAGCGACGCTGGAGGCGTCGGCTTCATAGACGAAGTTACCATCAAAATCATTCCTGCAAACCCGGATTGCGCCCCGGCGCAAAGAAGAACAGCCTAAAAAACACGTCATCTTGATTGCGATTGCTCGCGTGCGCACGCGACCAAGCGAAAGTTCTCCGCCCTCATGGCCGCTCCACAACAACACACCAGCGACTTTGAAGAACACGAAGTCATCCCCGGCACGCGCCGTCTCTACGATGAGAATGGCAGCACCTTCTCCAGCGATGCGTCGCTCCTGAAGCACGGCGACATCGTCCTCGTCCCGCAGCCGACGGACTCCCCCAATGACCCCCTGCGATGGTCGCTTGCGCGCAAAATCTGGCACTCCTGTCTGGTGTTGTACATTGTGGGCCTGACGGCTGCCACCTCGAACAACGCCGGCTCGGGCGCGGACGGCGTCAATGAGGAGTACGGTATCAGCTACGACGTGTTCAACACCGGTGCCGGTGTTTTGTTCGTTGCGATCGGGTACTGGACGTTGCTAAGCTCGCCGCTCGTCCACTTGTACGGCCGGCGGCTCGGGTATCTTATCTCGATGCTGCTCAACATCGGCGGTCTTATCTGGTACGCGCGCATCACCGACGTCAATGGCGTCGTGTGGTCGCAGTTATTCGTTGGCGCTGCGGAGTCAGTCGGAGAGGCGACGGTCCAGCTTTCGCTTCTCGACATCTGGTTTGAGCACCAGACCGGTAGTGTACTCGGTATTTACACTTTCGCAACTGCCATTGGAACCTACTTGGGCCCTCTGATTGGCGCCAACGTGTCTAGCCATCTTGGCTGGCGTTGGATCGGTTGGTTGGGTACCATCATCTGCGGCGTCAGTCTCATCGTGCTCTTCTTCGGGCTTGAGGAAACAGAGTTCAACCGTGACAGCTACTTGACCAGCGACATTGACCACGCACCACACAGCGCTGCCCAGATCACGGAGAAGACTTCGGAGACTGGCTCTCATGGAAAGGACGCAGGCGCAAATGATGCGACTCAGAAGCGCAGCCAGCTTGTGGAGGAGCACACTAGTCACGATGTTGATCTCGGGCGGACCGAGACCGCCCGGCACCGTGCATCTATTTCCTATGCCCGGCCGAAGACCTACTGGGATAGAATTCGCATCATCACTCCCGCACCCAACCTCCAAGGTACCGGCGCAAAACAGTACTTCCACCGCCTGTGGCACACCCTCCGTGTCTTCACGTTCCCTGCCGTGTGGTACGCTGGCTGGCAGTGGGGTTTACAGAACATCTGCCTGACGTTCTATCTCACCGTGCAGGAGGACTGGTGGTACGGGGAGCCATGGAATTACACGCCCGCGCAGGTTGGCAACATGAACCTGCCGACCCTCATTGGCAGTCTGATCGGTTGCGCGTACGGTGGCTACGGCAGTGACAAGTTCATGCAGTGGATGATCAAGCGAAACAAGGGCGTCATGGAGGCTGAGTTCCGTCTCTATCTCATGGCGCTTTGCACTATCATCTTCCCAACAGGCATGTGGCTCTTTGGAATTGGATCAGCACGTGGATGGGACTGGCCTGTTCCGTACGTTGGACTCGGCTTCATCGGCTTTGGCTATGGATGCGCCGGAGACTTGAGCTTGGCGTATCTAGCCGATGCTTTCCCGTAAGTTATAACGTCACTAGCATCAGGACGCTTCAACTAATATCTGTGCAGGGAGATGGTTCTCGAGGGCATGGTGGGCGTTGCTGTGATCAACAATACGATCGCCATGGTCTTCACTTTCGTCGCCAGCTACTGGCTCGATACCGGCATGGAGAACTGCTTCATCGTTCTTGGCGTCCTGAGCTTTGTTATCATGGGTACCAGCTTACCCATGATCATCTATGGCAAGAGATGCAGACGCTGGGCCAAGGGCAGGTACTTGAGGTTCATCGAAATCCGTGATGGATTTTCCAAGTGAGCTGGAAAATCAGCACTAAGAGACATTGTCGTAAAGCAGCGCAAAGCACACGACCACCTCTGATGATGCTGGATGAGGCTAAGGTCATTGTGGACTGTCCGTGGGGGTGGAGAAAAGTTGGCTTCCGTTCGAAAAACGATATTTACTGGTTTTGACGCTAGATGCGTAGGGTGTGAATGGAGTAGGAGGTCTCCTGATGTTTCCTATAGTCATACAAGAATTCAATACAAGAATTCACACTGGGTTCTACTGGAATTCGTTCTGCGAAGGATTCCTGTGTGAATTTTTGTCTGACTATAGGAGACATAAGGAGCCCTTCTTCTCCATCCACATCCTACATACCTACGTATCTAGCCGCCCCTCTCAACTGGTTTTCGTCATACCGGTACCTGAATTCACAACTTCATCAAGAGCAAAGTACCAAGCCAATTGACAATACATCTATAATTTTAATGCAACATAGACTCCAGCCAAGCAACTGCCTGAGCATCATAGTCTGAGGAATACGCCAAGTGGGCAGTGAGGTTGCCTGTTCCGCGAGCATCGCAGACTCCATCATGATAGTTGCAGTAGTCGCGCACTCTGTCAGCGTAAAGGTTGAATGCAGTAAGCTGCTTTGCTGTGCGAGGGTATTTCTGCGAGGGTAGAGTTGGTCAGTACGTGTATCCAGTTCAGGCAATTAGACAATACACACCCCGATGGCGTCGAAAGCAGAAGCGTTGCCCACGTTGTAGGTCTGGTTCGGCATGTGACGGGGATTTCCATAGAGGAGAATTGCTGCAACTAAAGAATGATTTGTTAATATTCCCTGACATTTGGCTGACTGGTCCAATTCTCACTGTGCTTGCCGACCGTGGATGCATCCACGGAGGGCTGGGTGAGGTTGCCCAGGATCCCGTTGTCGCCACCTCCGGCCAAAATATCGCCCAGAACCATTGCACCCTGCGAGTAACCCAGCAAAACGATCTTTGCGTCGGGGCAAGTTTGGGCATAGGCAGAGATTTGCTTCGCTCCGTTGGCAACACCTTGGAAATAGCTGTCACTGCCGGACTCGTCCGTGGCGGGATATACAATGTCCGCGTAGTTGCTGTTCGGGAAGGCTTCCATCAACGGATCAATGACTGTAATCAGGCTCCCCGGGTAAGACAGCGTCGTGCCGCGAGCCTCAAAGTAGTGAATATCGGCGCACGTGGTGTTGACATCCTGGCGGGGGAGGAGAGTAGTAGAATCAACGAGGATGGGTAGAGCCAATCCGATGGCTGCCACTTTGCTGAGGAAAGACATGATAGAATGAAGTTTTTAGTAGTCAGAAGGCTAACGATCTTCTTGGAATGCTTCGGAGTGATCAAAGCATTGATAGTCTCTTTATATCATCACGGTGGTAGCTGAGGCCGCGTCATGACGGATAGTCGGCCTCTATGAGAGGACCCTTACATCTCTAGCGATCGTAGACAGCTCATGATTAGATTAAAGATCCTCGTAATACTGTGTCGCCTGAGTTGCACGGATCAGGTCCGTTGTCTCTGAGGTCCATTCCGCTGTGGGGCACGTCCGAGGTTGATCTCCCGGGATGAAGTCTCATTGGGCCTGGCTTCATCTTAGGACCGTTTTCCCGGTAAGTTGCCAGAAGCGTGGGGAATCAAGCTTTTCCTATCCGGCAGCGGTTAATGTTAGATGCGTGAAGGGATGGACCGATCCCGCTGCATAATCACTCAACATAACCGGTGTCTCTGGTGTCACTAAGCCAAATATCAGGGGCATCGGAGTTATCTAAGCCCGCAGGAGAAACATTCGCATGCCCATTCGGTCTCATACAACAATGACGATGACTCAACGGATGAATGTTTCAATTACAATTATGATTAGCACCCCTACTTCAAATCTCTCAGCCACTATACAAGAACATCCACGCCCCATTTCAACGACGCGTACTCGGCAACGATAGTATCGGCGACCTTCTCAACAAGCTGGTGAATCCACATGATGGGAAAGAACCCAGGCAGCCTGTTGCATGCGCTCAGGTCAGAGACACGCAAACCATCGATGCCCCTCACTCGCAAGTCGCCGTCCAACACGGCCATCGGGTCGTCGTCGCGGCCGATGGGAGCCGAGCATGCGGCGTGATGGCCCCAGTTCTCATCGCGAATGAACTGGTCAAGTGCATCGTCCGTCACATCAGCACCGGGCCAGACCTCCTCAAAGACTCCATCGAAAACTTCTCCAAGCCCAGAGGCGAGCGAGCCGTTGCTGCCAGAGAGCACGCCGCCGATCGGGACCACGTTCTCCATGACGCGGCGAGCGTATTCATATCCCTCGCGGATGGCCGTCAGATCCTTGGCCGCGTCTTCGTCATTGTTAAACCTCTTGAAGTTGATCAAGGGTGTATCGCGCGGGTCCGTTGAGCGGAGAGTAACAGTGCCGGCGTTGTTGCGCTGGTGCGCCTTGAGGATGATCCAAGCCCAGTGGTTGGAGTCAGCGACGGCGCCCTGCGACCAGCCTGGGTAGTAGCCGGTGAAGTTGGCTGGTCCGCCGAGGAGGATGACGTCGGGCTCGCCGCGCTCCGTGGTTGTTGAGTTGCGAATCATGGCGATGGCGATACCATTGGAGGCATACGCCCCGCGTGTAGTTTGCGTAGTGCCGTCGACAAAGGTCTTCATGCAGGGATCGAGTTCTGGATCCGGATGCCATGTGCACTTCTCGGTGAGCGCGAACGAGGTCGGGGTCTTGGAGACCATGGTCTGCTCATAGCGATCTTGGAGGTTGGTGCCAACTCCTGGGAGGTCCAGAACAACATCGATGCCCAGAGACTCGAGTTCTTCGCGGGGGCCAACGCCAGATAACTTGAGAATCTGGGGTGTGTTGTAGGCGCCGCCTGCAACGATGACTTCCTTAGTTGCTGTGACGTGGCCGGTGCCTGATGGCTGTGAGGTCTTGGAGCGCGGGTCGGCACGGTAGAGCGCTGCCCCAGACATGTAGTCGACCCCGTTTGCGCGGGGCTTCTCACCGGACGTATCGAAGGTAACTTTCGTGGCGAGCGTATCAAGCATGATGTCTAGATGATATTTCCGGCTGCCGTCGGAATTGGTCGCGAGAGCAGTGTCAACGATCAAGTCGTAGACTCCGCCGCGACGCGAATCTGAGCGCATCACGAGTGGAACCTGATAAACTTCAGGAACCATGAGTTGGCCGGGGGCATTAATGTCTGATGTCAGCACACTGGCGAGGTAAGTCGCGGTGGCCACGACTTCCCCGATGATTGTCTTGCCGAAAGCCGTGCAGGCGGCCAAGAGCACAGAGACGATCTTGATATCCGTTGCAGCGGTGATGAGCGAGGTGTATCGCATCGGGTACCAACCCGAGGAACCTGAGTTGAGCGAGTGCGGCTGGTAAGCTACGTTGGTAAACCGGTTTAGATACTGTCTCATGTTTTCAGATGCGTATGAATCATCACCGGTCAGCTCAGCCATGTCATCCCAGTCCATGTCGTAGGGCTGCAAGCTGAACAGGGCATTATGGCGGGAGCACCCGCCCAGAGCTCCGGTACGCGGGTAAAGAATGCCAAGCGGCTCGGCATCGTCGGGGATCTGATCGGGCGTCGCGGCGGTGCCAAGGTTGCCAGTGGCATTATACGCCGTCCAGTACTTGCCGTCGGTGGTGTTGTAAGTCATCTTGGAGTCGCGCTTGTCAAGCTCTGTGTCGGCGTACTTGTTGACATAGAACTCCCAAGCCAGGCTCCAGTCTTCCGTAGAAGCCAGGTTCATAGCTGGTACGGATTGGATCAACTGGAGACCACTATCACCGCCGGCTTCAATAAGCAGCACCTTGAAGCCAGCAATGGCCAGGTTGGAACACATGTGGCCGCCTCCTGGGCCAGAGCCGATGCAAACGAAGTCGTACTCATTGGTCGTGTTTTGTGGAAGGTCGTGGTCGTATTGGCGCTTGATGTTAATGAAGGGGTTGTGTCGGGGCAGTCCCATGACCGCCTGGGCGAGGAGGATGCAGAATGTGAGGCGCATCATGATGGAACGGGGGTCCCCTCGGGCAAAGAACGACTGCGTGATCTGTTTCAGCGATGTTTCTTGGAATAATCCACGATAAGAAGCCCTCGTCTTTGTTTTTGTATCTTTTCAGCCAGAGGGGCGGAAACTCAATGCCGAACCATTCTTCTCCTTTCCCAATTTGATCTTTTGTCAACAGGGGTAGTAAGGCTGCGATGGGATAACCGACGATCTTTCCTCAACAACCCCCGGTGGGTAACACGGAAAGATGAGAAACGGGTAGCACGGGCGGCTGCAAGGACGTTAGATCTAGCCAAGTCAAGCAGAAATGACGAATCTCGGTCCTGGATCATAGGGAAAATTGGAGCTGGCATATTAAGATGCGCGCAACTAAGTAACCCACTCGCCCTGAAGCCTGCGGCGGCGGCCGACATGCAGTACCACGCAATTGTTATCATTGATGGTTTGGATCCGGGAAAGACTCAAAATAAACTCCGATGACAGCTGCAAGGACTCAAATTGCATGCAAGCCACTCGTAGTACAATTGGCTTTCGCAAGCCACCCACATATCTGCCCATTTCGAGTATCAAGTTCGAGCAACACATTCATGGCGCCACGTTCGCCCAGGATTCCACTCAGCACCGCTCTCTGAGCAACAAAACTGGACGGTAATGATCGCAAAGGTGCAACAGGACTGTCTGAAATGAAACGCCTAGCCGGCGGACGTCGTGTAACGTGCAGTATTCATGGGAGTTAATATGCTGTTGCGAACATCAGAGTTCGATGGTCGTTCATGTTCTCCCGACGAATAAATTAAAGATATAACCAGGTTCCTTTGGATTCCTTCTGGGGATTTCCCCAATACCATCACGGGCTGTTACGCTGGAATCGTAGTCATGAGGCGGGGCCGTTGCCAAATTGGCGATAAGGCTATTCGTATTGCCGTCCAGAATTTTGAATATTTCAGTCCGTTCATTCTCGTTGAACGGAATGACTTTTTTTTCAAGGAGAACAAGCACAACCTAAAGATCCCTGACGTTGCATGCCTAGTAAGCTTAATGTGGTATTGATACATGCAACCCGAGGTCACCGGTTCAGTGTCGGTCTACCACTTTTGGAGAGCATTGTGTTTCTCCCGCCTTAGTGCTCCTTCTCTGTCAGCTGTGCCGCCTTGGCGCATCAACCTCGAAGTGCCTTCAAATCATTAAAAGGCACTCCAAGTGCATCTTTCTTGCTCGGCCATCACCAGCCACTTCGCAACCGTAAGCCAACTAGGTCCTGCTAGATTGCTCATGTCTTCCGACGCTATGACAGCTCTTCCTGCAACCTTCACGCTGCCGCTCACGATCACTACACCATTTGTAGCGCCATCAGACTGCTCAACACAATGGAGAACGACGAGCGTGCATTTACCCGTGACAAGCGGCACCTCGTTGAAGACGCCAATTTTAGTATATGAACCATCTACTTCTTGTTACCCATCTGGCTCATTTGACCTAGCGCCCGAAAACCGACTCAACTTCAGGCCTGGGGTATGTCCAGATGGCTGGGTATATCACAACATGGCAGTAGCCAGTTCAGGGGCTTCAACTGCTTATTGCTGCGACAGGTTCGTCAGGCACCTGTTGATTATGATCCAGGAATGAGAATGGAAGTTTCCACCTCACAACAACGAATGTCCTGACGTCATACTGCAGGGGTTTCGATTTTCGATTCTTCGACGGCTACATCTACGCGACGTCGATTTTCGCGGAACGTTGCGGCCGATACGCCTCTGCCTCAGCATTCGGAGCCACTGTCTCTGGGGACAAGACTCTGATGGTGCACGAAGCCTGGGCAGTGACTTGGTGTGCATCCGATACGCCAACATTGACGCCTCAACTGCCCACTTTGACAAATTCAATGTTCATGCCTGTTTGGACACCCGGTGACAGGATCCCAGATGGGATATATGACCACGACGAGGGGAAGGACGGAAATGCCATGAGCAAAACCGTGCATTTGGTTTTTTTGATCGGCTTACCAATCATTGCAGCAATCATTATTTGTCTTGTTATATGGTGTGGAGTTAGGAAGTATAGAAGGAGTTCACGAAAGAAGAGAGAACTGAAGGCTCGACGGGGAAAGGCTGTCAGCAGGGAGGCGGCGTGAATGGAAACGGCAAGGTATGACGGAATGAATGAATGATTCGACAGGAAAGGTAGACAGGTAGTAGATTCCACGGGCCTTAGTGACGCCATCGTAATGAAATTCCTTTATGGTAACACGCCGCCGCATTGGCTTTCCGGGATTCACGTCTATGCAATATCGCAATCTATGGGCCAGGCATCTCATCAGATCTCACAGGTCATCCATCAGTTTTCAAATGCAAAAGATTCACCGCATTCCGCTTCACAAATTAAAAGACTTTAGGATCGCAATATAATTGATGCTTAACAGGCCATGAAGGCTGACGTACAAAAAGGGCCATCTTATACAGACTTCTAGACGTCAGATTTATGACCAACGGTATGTGCATATCACGATCCCTGCACCATCTGGTGTCTTTGGCTGATCTCGCCCCAGTTTGCCCTCTTAGCAAGGGTATCCAGAGCTGCACTGAGTGGCGGTGCAGCAGGTCTGCTTGCCATTGTTGCATGCGGTGCACCAGTACTGGCGTGCAGTCAACTTCTCGCCGCTGAACATCATGGTGGGAGCTTCAGCCTCGGCAATTGGGGTGGCTGAAACAAAGGCAGCTGCGAGAGCGGCGAGAACAAACTTGGTGAACTGCATTTTGTTGTGGTTTGAGTTCGGATCAATCTGGTTGATGGTGAGGTTAGCATTGGCTCCAAATATGTTGCAATTTGGGCGAGATATTACAACTTACAAATTGAAGATGTGTAAGATATGTCAACTACTTGGTCTGATGTTGCTTTGAGGATGGATAATACAGACGACAAGTGAGAAAAGAGACAGATCTTTATACTTGCCTCCATTCTGAATCTCAATCCTTGAAGCATCTTAAAAATGCACTCGATGGTAACCGAAGTCTCGTATCCGAGAGCGTTCAACATCAGGATGCTTCACGCGCTCCAACTGTCTTGCTTGGGGAGTGTCGTAACTGTCGTTCCCTCTTCGTTCCACGAATGGAATTTTGTCTCTCCATTCTTGATGTTGTCATAATACCATTGTGGCCATGTCCCTCGAATCCTTCAAATGCGAGTCTACCAATAGTGCGAAAGCTCAGGCGATGCCAGACTTTAGGCGAACTGACGAAGGATTCGGATACCACGTTAGCATACTTTCTGAACTTCCCCGCATACGGCGCAGGCTGACAGGCACCCGCTGCGGGGAGACAACCGCCGTGATTATGATTAGTGCGCTTCATTCAAAAGAACTTTCGGACACAGTTATCCCCATTCTAGTTAAAGTGAGGAGTCGTTTCGCTCAACTTAGGTGTGAAGAGTTGAATCGTGGCTTAGATCGGCTTCCTCCCAACTCAAGCATAATCAACTCATACACAAGTCCCAGAGCGAGCTCCATGAGGATCAACACGATTCACATGATGGCCACTACGTGCCGCTCTAACCGGTCCTCTGATCTTCTCGGCGCGCATTAAGACGAGCGTCTATTCTAGCGCCAGGTCGGCTGAGCATTGTGCGAAACATTCAGCTAGACTTGTGCTTGATCTATGTCGATCCGTGCAGCGTTGCTGCAGCTTCATCAAACGTTCATGGTCGTCAGTGCATCATTTAGACCTGGATTGAGCATTTTCATCATGCGTCCAAATGTAACATGCAGATGAGTCGCTTGCTCATTGAAAGCAAAATACATGTATCGATGAATACCAACGCTATCCTGAGAATATGTCGGTAAGCTGCCCTAATATCGTTTCTAGTAGCTCGTATTTGCAAGATTTGCCCAATCCTTGGGATGGCTAATTTCCTTCCGCGCTTTGAGATCGCCCATCCCTACCCCCCTTCTCGCCACAAGTTGCAGCGAAGTCACCGGAATCAGGTTGCCGTCTACAAGCTTGCTCTAGATCTGCATGCTAATCAGAATACTTCTTAGATGGTGTCACATCGTTGCAGAGCGTGGTATAATCCATGAGAGAGTCCGCTACAATAGCGGAAACTCGTAATTGATATTAAATAACGTACCAAGTTTCCGGGAATCACCGTCACAGTCCTTTCTATTGCACCTTGGAGTCTTGTGATTCGCGGAGGTTTGCGTGTTTCGCACGCTAGGCATGAAATCATGCCAAAATGTCGTAATACTGCAGATTCAAGTAACAGATCTTGCCCGAGGTACTTGGTCACCAGCCTGCAGTTTCACCTGAATTCACCGGGTGGGCACTTTGAATGAACTAGAATTGCGGAAGCGGGCCTCACATTCGAGATGTCATCTCCGCATGTGACTTCCATGTGAGGCTTTCAACATCGGCGATAGCTGTCCGACGAATCAAACAAACTAGACGATGGATCAGCTGGTCGGCCTCCAGCAGTAACGCAAACTCATGCGACTTAACCTCTCAACAGATCTGCACGATCACTGTACTATGACTAAAAGAGGCTAACATGACAGAACTGATAATACATAGGCACGTTTATCCGCCAATTTCATAATGACGAGGAGAAGTCACAATCGGCTCATTACGTAGAAGACGCCGCATGAACCCTAGGCTCATGGTGCGCAATCAAAGTGATGGTATGGTGGGTTCAACATAATCATCAATCTCAAAATTTACATTGAACGTTTACTTTGTTGGGAGCCCTGGGACGATTGATTCAAGTTGTCGTTGAAGGCGTTCCCAGGCCAGACATCAAACCATAAATGTTGTCGGTCCCGTTTCGGTTTTCTTTGCTTCTTTGACTTGAATACTTTCAACGTGACAGCAAACGTCTTTTCAGAATCTTCAAACTGCTTGCAATGCCGTGTCCTCCGACCTCCTTTGAGTTTGTTGATACAACGGCAGCTCTGGCGCGAATTGTTGATGCGCTCAGCGGGGCCGTTACCAGCCCACCATCACTCTATGTGGACCTAGAAGGAGAGTACCTTGGTCGGTTAGGCACGATATCAATCATTCAAATCTACCTATCGAGCCGACAGCAAACATACCTCATCGATGTGCAAACGCTTGGTGCCGCTTCTTTCTCGGAACCGGGAACAAACGGCACGACATTGAAGACTATCCTCGAGTCGGCAAGCATCACAAAGGTCTTTTTCGACGTCAGAAACGATTCCAATGCCCTCTTCTCCCACTTCAACATTGACCTCAAGGGGGTTGAAGATTTGCAGCTCATGGAGCTTGCAAGTCGGAAATCCAACAAGAGGCTTCTTTATGGGCTGAAGAAGTGCATCGAATCAGATGCTCCGATGACTCCCGGCGAACTACTGGAATGGGGTCGGGTTAAGCAGCAAGGACTCAAGCTCTTCTCCCCGGATTCGGGAGGGAGTTATGCAGTGTTCAGCCAGCGACCCTTGCCTCGAGACATATTGTCATACTGCGTTCAGGATGTGCAGTACCTTCCCCGCCTTTGGAAGACCTACAATGAGAAGCTCACGCCGGCCTGGAAATTGAAGGTTCTTCAAGCTTCACAGCATAGGGTCATTCAATCCCAGGCTGCTGACTACAACGGGAAAGGAAGACATATGGCTATGGCCCCGAAGGATTGGATTTCATAATCAAGTAGCTACTAATCGTGATCTAAATAGCAACTGGACTGTTGTAAAGCTGTTTTGTTTTTTAAACAAATTCCGCCAAGCACCCCTCAATATTTGAGATCCTGCCAGAACCCAACCATGACAAGCAACAATTGACCCTTGCGATGATGATGATGTCATCATTGAAAACACAATCACCACCCCTCTCACAACTTTGCCTGGACCCGACCTTGCGATAATTTTTGTGCGACGTCATGAGCACCTCCACCCTTGCCAAACATCTGTCTCAAATCCTCGGCCAGGATTTCTGGTCTCTCATGCGCAGCGAAATGCCCACCATCGCCATGCGTGACCGCAAATACCACGGGTCCTAAGGTCTTTGCGTGACTAATCGGCGGAACGAACAAGTCCATCGGGAAGATGGACACCCCAAGCTTTACCCTCGGGATCCAGCCAAACTGCTCCGTGTGCGCGGTAGGATGTCTCACCTCATAGTAGATCCTCACACTCGCCTCGGGGCCCATAGTCGAGAACTGGTAGATGGAGATCCAAGTGAGAATCTCGTCGTCAGTCCATGGATAGCCATCTGTCCAATCATGAAGCTTTTCGTATATCCATGCGAGAACGGCGACAGGTGAGTCGGCTAGCCCAATACCGAGGGTAGCTGGGCGAGTTTGTTGCTCAAGGTTGTAGCCGTAACCCTCCTTGGCAAACCATTTGGTCCGCTCAAGACCACTCTTTTCCTGTTCATTGTGTGGCCAGAGGCTCTTTATGTATTGCAATGGGTTCTTGAACGGCGAAGGCGGCTTAGCTTGGACCATATTGAGATGCGAGGCAAGGACGTGATCCGGATATTTGAGACCCATGAAGCGGGTAATTAAGAAGCCCCAATCTCCTCCTTGTGTCACTGTAAATCTGTAAGTAGGAACGATTTTAGTAAGGCGGAAGTGGACGGCGTCTGACCATATTGCTCGTATCCGAGCTTGAGCATGACTTTGTGCATCACCTCGGCGTATTGGGGCATGCGGAATCCGGGCTTATCTGGCCCATGAGAGAAGCCGAAGTTGGGAAGTGAAGGCGCGACGACGTCGAATGAGAGACCGTTCGTCTCAGTTGTGAGGAGGGGAATGAGCTTAAGGGCCTCATAGAAGCTTCCCGGCCCTGTGGGCATGTCAAGTCAGTCACCCATCGAAGCTCCAAAAAGCGGTACTCACAGCCATGGCAGAACAGCAAAGGAACGGCGCCGGGTTGAGTGCTCTTCTGCCACACAAAGTGTATGTCTAGATCCCCGAATCCATCGACAGAGATCGTGGTCGTGTACTGCGGGATCTCATTCAGCTTAGCTTCAGCTGCCCGCCAGTCAAAGCCGTTCCGCCAGTGGTTCACGAGTCGTTTGATGTGAGAGACTGGCACGCCATAGTCCCAGCTGTCACTGAGCGGAATTTCTGATGGGAATTTGGCGGTGTCGAGCTTGGCGTGCAGATTCTCGATTGCAGAGTCCGGGACGTTGATTTTGTAGGGCTTGATTGAGGGGTCCATTCTGGCTACAGAGTGTAGTTGTTCTCGAAACGGTCTTCCAGTCAATGCGGGTATCAAATAGCCACGGATAGCGAATTTCTTGCGCTTGAATGTGATGATCTGAGTGCGATGTATGTCTCCGGATTGCGGGGAAGATTCTGCTGTTTTTAATGCACTCGGTATGCTTTCATCTAGGTAAACGCGCCCTTGTGAAGACGCGCAGATGGCGTCACAGTACAGACGAAACCATCTTACTAATACACGCGCCAGAGCACTGAACAGATCCCTTCCAAGCAAAAAGTGTTCTTGGCGGGCGGGAATAACGAGTGATTCGTGGGGGCTTACTTCCCCGCAGACGGTGCTCAAACTAATCAAGCCAACCAGAGTCTGACATCATGGATTTAGCTCGAGAACGCGGTGGCATCAACTCACTCATAAGGGCGCGTCTTGACATGAGTACGCGACTCATTGTGATGAGAAATCGATAGAGTCTGACAAATCTAATCTTACAGCTTTTGAGTCTCAATGAGACTACTTTGCATCGCTCTTGGACTGGTTATGTGAGATGACACAGGTTCACAAACATGCACGAAGCCGCTCAGAAATTTGGGCTGAGGGAAGAACTTTTGTGAGGGCAAGATGAGACGGTACTGAGATCAGCGCCCACCCCAAGGCAATCAATCAAGTTTGAGGCTCAAACTTGACTTGATTACTATATCGCGATGCCATACTTAATTGATTACTAATTAATTATAAGTAATTGCTAAGTAAAGCTATTTAGACCTACTTAGTAGTGAAACTATACCCCTCTTATACTATTACCTTATATATTATAGTATTTCTAGCTTTTCTACTTTTATTACTAGCCTCTATGAAGTTTAGGTAAGAGATATAGTACTAAATACCCTCTTATAGTTAGATAACTATAAAGGTATTACTAATATATTTAATACTAGTTTACTTAGGTGAGGATATTTTTCTTTATAGGTAAATTACTAATTAATAGGATTATAGTTAGCTTACCTCTATAGGCTTAAATACTTCTCTAACTTATCTAGCTCCTTATTATCCTCTTCCTCTTTAAGTATAGTAGCTTCTATTTAAACCTACTACTTAAAGTTATTTAGATTATAAGGTTCTAAGTATTAGTTTATATTTCTTATACCCTCCCCTTCTTTAGAAAGATACTATTAGTTAAAATATCTCTTTAGAGCTAACTTAGTATTAGATACTTATTCCTATTAGTAAGGGGATTACTAGTTCTTTTCTATATATTTTATATTAAAACTAAAGTAGAGGAGTAATATAGTAGTATATAGAGGTAACTCCTCTATTAGGGTATAATACTTATCTAGCTTCTTCTATCTATTATTAATAGAAATCCTTAAGTATTATTAGCTACTACTACTTATCTCTTTTAGGTTAGAGATATTATTAATATACTCTTAGTAAGTATAAGTAAGTAAAAAGCTTTTATTAAGCTATCTCTAAGATACTTATAATACTTAAGTATATAATAGGACTTACTAATATGCTAATTAAGTAAATCTTTAAGATATTTCCTATAAGAAGGCTTATAACTCTTCTAATTTAAGATCTTAAGAATTCCTACTATTAATATTATTATAGAAGGTCTTCTAACCTTTAAAGTAACTTAAAAGATACTTTATAGTAGTAATTACCTCCTAAAGTCTACTATATAAGCTATATTATCTAAAACCCTATATTTAAAGTATGATCTTCTAGATAGGCCTTAAGATTATTATAATCTCTATTAACTATAGCTAGTTATTAGAAATTAAGATATCTTAAGCTAGTATAAGATCTTTAACACTCTAAGAAGAATAGAAGTATTATATTACGACCTATTATACATAGATAACAGTTAACTAACCTACTTAAGCGTTAGGCAGCTAGGATAGGACATTTATACTACAGAGTTAATAGGAATAATAGGGAACTTACTTAGAACAGAAGAACTATAGTATAAATCATATAATAATAAGATAAGGAAATAATTAGTAGAGTATAGGAAGAAATACTTAGTGATTAGTTAATATTACTAACTAATTATAATCACCTATATACCTAAGTAATTACCTAAAAGTAGATAAAGGATACTATTTAGGACTTATATATAGTATAACTTAAGCCTCACTTAAGGTTAGACTTCTATAGCTCTTTAGTAATTAACTTAGTATTTATCCTTATAGATACTTTTAGCTTACCTTTATTATAAATCACTTATTAAGCTTAAGACTAATTACTTTAGTCTCTAAAAGACTTAATCTATTATAGCTTACTACTTATAACTTAGACTATAACCTTAGTATATTATTATAATATATTAATCTTTAGTTTCTATTAATAGACCTTACTATTAGATAGCTAATTATAATACTTTAATTACTCTTATTTAATAAGTTAATTATTAATACTTACTAATAGTAAAATAATAAGTATATCTTTATATACCTCTATTAAGTTACTTACTCTAAGGACCTCCTCCTCTTTATAGTAGCTAGTCTAAAACCTAATTAAAGAACTTAAAGGAGCCTTTATAGTAGTAAACTTTAATAATAAAGTAACTTTAAAGAAAGATACTTATAAATACTTTTAAGCTAAAGTTAAGAAAGGAGATAATAATATTACTAAAGTTTAAACTATATATAATAATACTACTATAGAACTTTAAGGCCTTAAAGAAATAATATAATAACTAAGAAATAGCCCTTAATATATTATAGACCTAGAAAATAAAGTTATCTAACTTAGAGGATAAAATAGTAATATTAATATTAAGGAACTTTAAGAAGAAATCTATACCTTATATATAGCTACTAATATTATTATAACCTCTACTAGAAGATAATAGAAACTTAAACTTAGTACTCTAATTATTTATAATAATACCTTTAGATAACTTAAATTATTCTTAATCTAAGTTAAGAACTATTAGAACTTTTATTATAGAGATTTCACTAGCTAGACTAAGAAAGTTATCTATACTACTACTTACCTATAAAGATAAGTTCTTAAATAGTTTAAACCTATTTAAGAAGAGTTCCTTAAGTATAAAACCTTAGATAAATACTCTATTAAGACCTATAATATCTATAGTAGCTTTAAAGGATTTAAAGATACCTTCTACTCTCTCTTCTAAGACCTAGATAAGAAATAATAAACTAAAAGAGACCTTATATAGCTATAATAAATAAAGTTAACTAAAGAATATACTACTATATTTAAATAACTTAATATCTAATTTAACCTTACTAAAGAAACTAAGATCTTTATATTCTATTAAGGATTTAAAGATAAAGTTAAAGATAAAATTATTAAGATTAACTATTCTAAAGACTTTCTTTAGTATATTAACTTTACTATTAAGATTAATAATTAACTTTTTAAATACTATAAAGAAAAAGGCGAAAAATAATAAGGACTAAACTCTAGATATAAGTATTAATAGTAGCTCTAATAGAAGTTTAGCCTCTAATAGA